GACATCAACATGGCTTTCTTGAAGGGACTGACCTATGGCGAGCTCGCCGCGGCAACGGGCGAGAAAGAGCGTGTGGTGTGCTTCACACTACCACCTGGGTCAGCAGCTGTCCTTCGCACGCTGCCAGGCTTTGAGTCATATGACGAATCAAAGCATTGTCTTCGGTGTCTGAAGCCGGGGACGGGCACGAAGGATGCTCCCAGGGCATTCTCGCTGAAGCTCAGGTCCATCACTAGGAGCTTTGGGCTACAGCCTACTTCATACGACGAAGAGTTCGAGATGAGCTCAAACCTCTTGACAGCCAAGCACGTTGATGACATCAATATGACTGGGAAGGAAGAGGCTATTGACAAGTATGTCAAGTGTGTTGAAGATACGTTTGGGAAGTGCAAACTGAACAAGCACACATACACAAACTGTGCCGTTCGGTATAACAAGACCGATGATGGGAGCGTCACTCTTGATCAGGACGAATACATCAAACAGCTTCGTCCTATCACACATCCAGAACTCACAGGAGCTGATCCTGAGAGCAAAGCGACAAAGACGATTTCTGATATGTTCGTCAGTCTTCGTGGCGCTCTAGCCTATGCGTTGATCACGCAGGTATGGCTGATGGTCTATGTTGTCTCACTACAACGTATCCAGGAACCGACAAACATCCAGGTACGACGACTAAACGCGGTTACCAGAAAGCTACAGGCAGGTCCGAAGAAGATCGTGTATCAAGCTATGACCCCAACAGGAGAAGTCGACCTGCATAGCGATTCTGGCTATCGTCGTCTCAACGGAGATGAAGACGACGAAGTCAAAGGCTATGGTATCCGCGGGGCTAACCTGCTGAGGCGTGGCCACACGCAAGCGGGAAACCCGTCGTGCACCTGGTGGACGCATACTGCAAGTCTCATCGACTGCAGGTGCGTTCGAGCTACTCTGCGGAAACACTGGCAGCAGCCCACAACTTGGAAGACTGCTACCCGACCATTGTAACGCTCCACGAGCTACACTCGGGACCATTGACCCCCACACAGTTAAAGAACATATTGGAAATGGGTGGTCTATGTATCAAAGTCACTCTGACTATTGATGCCGAGTCTGTCTTCAAGTCTTTGTCTAGCAAAGATCTGAAGAAGCCCACAGAATGTACTCTGCTTGGGCACATTAGCTGGATCCGCCAGATGATGGAGCGCGGAATCGTTGAAAGCGTTCAATGGTGTGACACGCGGGATATGACTGCCGATGGTCATACCAAAGGTAGTATTGACCGCGCGTTGCTCCTACAAGTAATGGCCGGCCAGCAATCCTTCAAGCACGAGCTGAAGAAACATGCACCGTATAGGGCGGGCAGGTCGTCTCAGGACGGCCCTGCCTCCCGAGCTAGCGGGAAACCCGCGGGCAGGTGCGCTCTAATAGCGAGGAAACTCGCCGGTAGCGAGGCTACTCGCGCGCCCTTTCCTTGTAGGCAGCCGCTGCTGCTTAGCACTGTTTTTCCGCATAATGTAGAAGTGCGGTGCCTGCTCGTCTCCTCCCCCTCCGACTTTAAACGGAGAAGGTTTAAGGCGAGGTGTAAATCGAGCATGTACCGCTGCCGTGCCTGGCTCAAGCCGGGCCCGGCCTAATATGTGATTGTGCCTCACCGAGGCGCACGATTTGCATCAGAGATCGGAAAATACCTTTTCCATTGACGATGCCCATCCTATCCTTTACTCCAGATCCCATGCTTCGTCTTGCTCTCTTGCTCATGCGATATGAGCCAAAGCCTGGGATATGGCAACGCTTAAAGCGTAACACATACCTAAGCTTACCAGCTTGTTTTCGACTATCTGCGCGAATGTCGCCACTTTCGCTGGCTCCCGGGAGGCCCAGCGGAGGTGGGTCCCACGCGGATCAGTTCCGTATCCCGCCGCCCCCTGGGGGGCTTGCGATCTGCGCAAATGTCGCCACTTTCGTGGGCTCCTGGGAGGCCCAGCGGCGGTGGGTCCCACGCGGATCACATCGGTATCTCGCCGCCCCCTTGGGGGGCTTGCGATATGCGCAAATGTCGCCGCTTTCGTGGGTTCCTGGGAGGCCCAGCGGCGGTGGGCCCCACGCGGGTTACCTCGGCACCTCGCCGCCTTCTGGGGGGTTTGCGATTTGCGAACTGTCCCCATTCTCGAAGGCTCCTGGAAGGTCCAACGCGGATCATATTGGTACCTCGCCGCCCCCTGGGGGTTTTGCGATCTGCGCAATTGTCGCCACTTTCGTGGGCTCCCGTGAGGCCCAGCGGAGGTGGGTTCATTCAGACCCCACGGTACTTCGCCGCCCCTTGGGGGCTTCCGCGCAACAGTCGCCACCTTCGTGGGCTCCTGGGAGGCCCAGCGGAGGTGGGCCCCACGCGGATCACATCGGTACCTCGCCGCCCCTCGGGCGGCTTGCGATCTGCGCAAATGTCGCCAGTTTCGTGGGCTCTTGGGAGGCCCAGCGGAGGTGGGTCCCACGCGGATCGCAGTGGTACCTCGCCGCCCCCTTGGGGGGCTTGCGATATGCGCAAATGTCGCCACTTTCGCGGGCTCTTGGGAGGCCCAGCGGGGGTGGGTCCCACGCGGACCACCTCGGTACCTCGCCGCCCCCAGGGGGGCTTGCGATCTGCGCAATTGTCGCCACTTTCGTCGGCTCCTGGGAGGCCCAGCGATTTGCATAATGTCGCCGCGTTCGTGGGCCCACCGGGTGTACGTCATACGCGGATCACCGCGGAATTTCGCCGCCCCTGTGGGGTTTGCAGTTTGCGCAATTGTCGCCGCTTTCGCGGGCTCATGGGAGGCCCACCGGCGGAGGTGGGTCCCACGCGGATCAGTTCGGTACCTCGTCGCCCTTTTGGGGGGCTTGCGATTTGCGCAACTGTCCCCATTTTCGAAAGCTCCTGGGAGGCCCAGCGGAGGTGGGTCCCACGCGGATCACCACGGGACCTCGCCGCCTGTGGGGGGCTGCGGTATGCGCAATTGTCGCCACTTTCATTGGCTCCTGGGAGGCTCAGCGGGGCTACGTCATACGCGAGTCACTGCGATCTGTGTCGCCACTTTCGTGAGCTCCTGGGAGGCCCAGCGGAGGTACGTCATACGCGGATCACCACGGGACGTCGCCGCCCCCTGGGGGGCTGCGATCTGCGCAATTGTCGCCTTTTTCGTGGGTTCCTGGGAGGCCCAGCGGAGGTACGTCATACGCGGATTCCGGGACCTCGCCGCCCTTGGGGGGCTGCGACCTGCGCAATTGTCGCCACTTTTCGTGGGGGTCCCTGGGGGGCCCAGCGGGGGTACGTCATACGCCTATCACCACGGGACCTCGCCGCCCCCCTGGGGGGCTGCGATCTGCGCAATTGTCGCCTTTTTCGTGGGTTCCTGGGTGGCCCAGCGGAGCTACGTCATACGCGGGTCACCACGGGACCTCGCTGTCCGTAGGGGGCTGCGATCTGCGCAATTGTCGCTACTTTCGTGGGCTCCTGGGAGGCCCAGCGGAGGTACGTCATACGCGGATCACTTCGGTACTTCGCCGCCCCTGTGGGGTTTGCGATCTGCGCAATTGTCACACTTTCGAGGGCTCCTGAGAGGCCCAGCGGAGGTACGTCATACGCGGATCACCACGGGACTTGTTGCGCTCCTCTGAAAGCATTGCTGGGTGCTCTTTCTGCGCACGGCGGGTCCTTCCGAATGCCAGTCAGCGTTGAGCGGTCCTGGGTATAATCGCCACATGTATAGAAAGGGTAATTTGATGGTTTTGGGAGGATGTTGGCCTCTTCGGGGCCTCCTGGGGGAGTTGTTTGGCCACGTGGAGCCGTCTTGGAGCGGTCTTGCGGCCTCTTGGAGCATCGTGGGAGCCATATTGAGGCATCTTGGGATACCTTGAGCCATCTTCGAGGTCATCTTGGGCTCTCCCGGGCGCTCTTGGAATCATCTTTAGCAGTGCCCCCCCAGGAGGCCAACATGTGGCTAAAACCTTAGTAGCATCGATGATTTTGGCATTCTCGCCGAGGCATCTTGGAGCGTATTTGGTGCCTCTGGGAGGCCTCTTGGGGGGCATCCTGGGGGCCTCTTGGGGGCCTCTTGGTCACTACTGCCTTCCGGGTACTTTCGTTTGAGGGCCCCCATGGAGGCCGCCCCACGCGGGCGAACTAGAAAATTGCAAAAAACGGTTACTGGAGTTCTTAGCACGCCTTTGGCCCGTTGGGCCGGCGACCTCCAAAACTCGCCTGTAGGGGAACGTGCCCGACCTAATGCCAGAGCCGCCCAAGTGCTTCGATGCGGCCCACAGGCCCAAACGGCCTAGGCCTGGCCGGCTGGCTGGACAGGCCATCCTCAGGGCATTGCCGTGGGGTGCCCCATATGGGCGACTACCCCAGGGGGAGGCAGAAAGAGCAGGAGGGTGAGGAGCATGTGGTGGAGGAGAAGAGAAGGGCGATGAGGAGGGGGAGGAATGAGAATGATGAGGAGGAGAAGGAGGAGAAGGAGGAGAAGGAGGAGGAGGAGGGGTAACGATACTTGAGGAAAAGGAGGAGGAGGACAAAGAGGAGAAGGAGGAGGATGAGGAGGAGGAGGAGAAAAATGATTAGGAGGAAAAGTGGGGAGAGGAGCGATCAGCATGAGCAGGAGAGGCGAGGACGGCGGAACGGGAGCCTGGAGGAGGCCAGGAGGAGGGACAGCAGCGTTTTTTGTTTAAGGAGGAGTCTGAGGGGGTCCAGGCCTCTCAGTGGGACTTCGAACAGCTGGGGTCGGAGGATCGCTCCGCAACGCTGGTGCATTGCCAATGCGGCACGAAGTGGGGGCCGACTGTGTTCCAGTCGACGGCGCCGATTCGTCGCCGACGTGGCCGATGCACCGCCGATGCGCCTCGATCCTCCGACCCCATCTACTCGGATCCCGTCTAGGAGGCAGGCAACGGACGAGGAGGAGTAGGAGGAGGAGGAGGAGGAGGAGGAGGAGGAACATATGACGGGGCCCGTCTCTTCAGAGAGTTCGTTCGGCCCGCAGGCCCGGGAGCAGATGAAGGCCCTGAGCGAGAAGGTCGATCTGCAGACCTGGACCTGCCAGGAGTCCCGCGTCCTCCCTCCTGCTGCCACGACCAGCCGCTTGACCCTCCCAGTCCAGAGACCTGAGCTCAGTCTGCTGCTCGAGCCATGATTGAAACACTGCTCCGACTCTGCAGCCGCTCTTGCTACATCAAAAGGTTACACCAGAGAAAAACCCCAATCAGTGGATGGTTTTCGCTGAGGAGATCGACATGGACCCCGGGAGCCCGGGAACCCAGAACCCACCGAAATCGGCCCGGAACCAATGACCGGGAACCCAGGAATTCGGATCCGGGAACCCGGGAACCCAGTCGGTCCCTGCACAACGGAGGGCACGGCGCCGAGATCTCCAGGAAGTAAGGCCGGAGCGAGGTATAAGATCGAGGGCGGTTCGGAGAGGGTTCCCTGAAGTTCTTGACGTTTGTTGGACGTTAGTGTGCACCCTGGGGAGGGCACCTTCGGAAGTTCTCTGTGTGTGTATTTTGTCCGGCGGGGGGTCTCATGTCCTTGAATGATGCTCTTCTGTCTTAGGTCCGGAAGCAGGAGACAGAGACTGCGTCCTGGCCCGTAGCGAGGATCACGAGGTGGCCTCCGAGGGCTTGAGTCCAAGAAGGGTGGAAGAGAGACCCCAGGGTCGCGGCGGGCGCCCTCCTGCTCCAGCTGCGCCTTCCCCGCGTCGTCCTCAGTCACCGTCGTCGTCGTCGTCGGTGTCGTCGCAGTCGTCATCTCTCGCGTCGCTGCGTTCGTTCCTCTGTCGTCGGCGTGTCGTTCTTCGTCCTGAGGCCCTCGTCTGTCCTCCGCATTCCTCTTCCTCGGTCGCACCTCCGCTGATCCTCGTCGTGATGCCTTTCGCTCGCGGATTGAATTTTGCCCGTTGACATGCCTTCTATATTGGAGGGTCCAGTAGAAGGCGGTCAGGTTGCCACCTGCATCCGTTTAGTCTGTTGTGCCGCAGGCATAGATGTGAACGTGGCCACGAATCGTGCATCAGTCAGTCCATTGCAGCGCCCAGTCGCATGGATCCGTGGTTGAAATTATCGAGCTACTGTTCCACGCACGGCCCGTACTGCCCTCACAAGACGCCGATGCGTTACCTGCTTGTGCAGCAGAGGTGCTTCCTGCCCTGTGCGAGCAACTTCCCCGTTGTTCCTACTTGGATCCAGTCCCAAATCGCATATCCTCTCGAAGATGCCCACGACCAGCCATCCCCGCCCCCTGCCTCTGGGCAACGCGCGCGCTGTTGACTGCGGATGTCAAGCGGGGCCTCGCTGCTGGATGGGGCGCTCGCCCTGCCGTGGTGGGGCGCACTGGGGCTGTGCCTGGGCTCTGGTGCCGTCGTGTGGCGCTCTTGGGCCCGTGCAGTCGGGCTGCTGAAACAAGGAACGCTGAATCAGGAACGAAGCCCCTCTGCGGCTTCCAAAAAAGCCTGGGTGCACGAGAAGGGCTATAGGAACAAGCACGGAAGGACGCCAGGAGCCTCGAGCCCCTTCCGAATCCAAACTCTTCTTTATGTCAGCGTCTCGACAGTAGGTCCCCTCGAAACCGAACCCTAACATGAAGTCGGGCGTGTCCCTATACAGGAGGAATATTCAATCCTGGTGAAGCATAGTCTGGGGGCAATGCTTGAAAGTATGCTTGAGCATCTTCTCGATCATGGTTCGACCAGCTCCGCTCGTAGGCGGGCACGCCCGACCTGACCCCAACATCCGCCGATATGTTTTTTCCCAGTCCGCGGCCGAAGGAGTCCTGGCCCCCTTCCCCGAGGTCGGTCTTTCGCCCCGGATGAGTGGGGGTCGTCGTTTTTTGGCCCTCCCAGGAGTCCTCGTGAGGGTCGTCGTTTTTTGGCCCTCCCAGGAGTCGAAAAAGACCCCTCTGACCACCCGCGGGGGTCCCTCTCCAGGCCCAGGGGGAGGGGGTCGGGGCCGACGGTGGGCCCGACGGTGGGCCCCAGTCACCAATACCCGTCGGAGATCCGGGTCTCGAGGCCGTCCCAGGGCCCTCCTGGGCTTGGCATCGCTCGGACGTGTGCATTTGTCCTTCGGCGAGAACCATCGAGGAGCATCCTTGATCACTTCGCGAAAAAATCCACGTACGAGACCGAACAAAAAACATAGGAAATGGACGACCGAGCGATGGCCAGTAGGGCCCTCGTGCCCCGCGCTGCGCCTGGCAGGAGACGAGGGCGGAGCTGCAGACGGTGCGCGAGCGGCTCGACCGCGAGTCTCGGAGCAGCCGGGAGGAGCTGGCGAGCATGCTGGCTGAGGCCAAGGCGCGCGTTCCCTCCCCGGGGCGCCCAGGGAGGACGAGGATCGGGCGTTTCGCAACGAGGGGCCGATGCCGGCGGCTGGGCGGAACCCGCAGTGACCGCGCCAGGAACCACCGCGTCCGGAAGGTTTGGTCGACTTTGAGTGTATGTTGCAGTTGCTTATGCTGTTTCTGCGTTGTGGTTGATGTTGGAGGTCATTGTTGTGTTCACGCAGTGCTTTTCCGTAAGTTGGTTGCAGCCTTGCTACTTGCACCATGTTTCCCGTGGAGATGTCCTTGGATGTGTTTGCGCGAGGTCGAGAGGCGATCATGCGGGGCATTGTCCGTTTGCTACGACGCACGCGCGCGCGTTGTCCAGGGGAGTTCGCATGGGTAGCAATGTGGTCGTTGCCGCGTTGCAGCACTACGTTTTGGGGGGCGCGCCGCGCCCTTTTTGGCTTGCCAGTTGCATGTGTCTTGCATGTGCTGATTGCCCCCGCTCTACGATGTTTCGCGCAGCGTGATTGCGCTGCTTTTGCGCGGCGGTGCGCTCGTTCATGCGGACAGGACACCTCTGCAGGACGGTGCCTTCTGTAGCGTTTTGCATGCCACCATCCTTCTGGGTGCGGGTGCGCCTGGTTGCCCTTCCTGGCGGCGCGCCAATGATTTCCAATATTTGTCCGCTTGCTCGCGAACAAAAAAGTATCCCCACCAGCCCATCTAGAAACGATCGCCAGGCGAGATGCAGTGGAACAGCCGCCTTGGAGACGTGTCGGGGGCGCAGAAAAGGCTGGGAGGTGCAGTGGTACAGCCGCCTTGGAGACGTGCAGTGGTACAGCCGCCTTGGAGATGTGTCGAATGTGGCTTCATTCGGTTTTTCTGGAGGCCCTCTTGGAGTCATCTCGGGGCCCTCTCGGGGCGGGGAGGGCGCTATCTCCGACAACGGAAGCAGGAAGGAGGACAAGCAACAGGAGGAGGAGGAGGAGGAGGAGGAGGAGGAGAGGACGAAGAAGAGGAAGAGCCAGTGAAAGGATGCCGGAGTAAGACGGAGACGATGATGAAGGCGACGGTGACAACGACGAGTCAACCATGAAGCCTTCGCGGAGCTTTCGATCCGCGAGATTCTTGGAAGTTGATCGGACGCATAGTTGGTGTTCTTGGGACCTTCTTGTGGCCCTCTTCGGTCTATTTGGGGAGGTCTGGGAGGCCTCTAGGGGACATTTGGAGGCCACAGCTGAAAACAGAGGGGGGATCCTCAATTCTAGTCCCCCCCCCTCGGAGGCCAAAAACGTGTCCCGTGAGGCCATCTTGGGGCGCTCTTGGGGCACTCTTGAGCCCTTATTGTGGCTTTCTCGGACCATTTCAGAGCCATCATGAGCCCCCCCCCCCAAAGCTGATCGGAAGCCAACGCGCGAGGAGTAACCACAGGTTCATGTGCCTTAGGTGTTTGAAGGATGTTGGCCTCTTCGAGGGCGCCTCGGAAGGCTCGGAGAGCATTTGGAACCATGCTGCTGCGGTCTGGGAGCCTTATGGATGCATGTCGGGAGCTGGAAGTCATCTTGGAGGCCATCTTACAGCATCTGGGGCCCTCTTGGAGCCATCTTGGACCAAACAGGGCCATCTGACAGACACCTCGCCCCCCGCCCACGCCCCAGGGGCTCGCGTGCTGCCCCTGACCGAGGGGGCAGAAATGGCAGCCAGGCAATGGGAATGACAGGGTCGTAAGTTGGGCGACTGCGCTGGGGTCTCCAGCGAGAACCTGGGGTGGAAATGCAGGCGCAGTATTCGGAAGCTGAAGATGGTGATGATGATGATGTTGATGATGATGATGATGAGGAGGAGGAGGAGTACGAGGAGGAGGATGAGGAGGAGGAGGAGGAGAAGGAGGAGCAGGAGGAGGACGAGGGGGGCGAGAAGGAGGAAGCGATGAGGAGGAGGAGGAGGAGGAGGAAGGGAGGAGGAGGAGGAGGAGGAGGGAGGACGACCACGAGCAGGGCGAAGAGGACGAAAAGGAGGAAACGGAGGAGGAAGAAGAGGAGGAGGAAAACAAATAGTACGAGGGAAGAGGAGGATGAGGAGGAGGAGGAGGAAGAGGAGGAGGAGGAGGAAGAAGAGGAGGAACAACAAAAGAGAGCGAGGAGGAGGGAGGGAGGGCCAGAGCCCCGGAACCGAGGCCGGCGCGGAGCTGCAGGCGGCCGCGGTCGTGGAGGAGGCGAGGCGCGCCGCCGAGGAGGCCGCACAGGAGCGCGTCCGGGGTCCGGGGGTTGCTGGGGGCCTCGGCCTGCTGCGACCTGCCTCGATCGAGGAGGACCCTCCTGCTCCTCCTCCTGCTCCTCTCTCCTCCCTCCTCCCTCCCCCTCCTCCTCCTCCTCCCTCCTCCCTCCCCCTCCTCCTCCTCCTCCTCCTCCTCCTCCTCCTCCTCCTCCTCCTCCTCCTCCTCCTTCTCCTCGCGGTCACATGGCGGACATTAGGGTCGATGGTTGACGTTGCCCCCCTCCGACTCCACCTGCTCCTCCCGCTCCTCGGTGCAATTCTCGTCCTTTTCCTCGATCTCCTCCCCCTGCTCCGCCTCCCCATCCTCCTCCTAGTGCTACTCCTCCTGCTCCTTCTCCTTCTTTTCCTCCTCCTTCCTCGTCCTGCTCCTACTGCTCCTCCTCCTCCTCCTCCTCCTCCTCCGCCTCCTCCTCCCCTCCTCCTCCTCCTCCTCCCCTCCCCCTCCCCCTCCTCCTCCTCCTCCTCCTCCCCTCCTCCTTCTCCTCCTCCTCCTCCTCCTCCTCCTCCTCCTCCTCCTCCTCCTTCTCTTCCTCCTGCTCCTGCTTCTGCTCCTGCTCCTTCTTCTCCTCATCAGCAGCAGCATCCTCATAATTCCCATTATCAGCATCGTTATTAGCAGCATCGTCACCACATTCATCATCATCATCATCATCATCATCATCATCATCATCATCATCACCACCATCATCACCGACATCATCATCATCAACATCAGCAGCAGCATCAGCAGCAGCAGCATTTCATCATTGTTATCACCACCATCATCATAAGCATCAGCATCACCACCACAATGATCATCATAAACATCATCCTCATCGGCATCAGCATCAGCATCATCAACATGACCACTATCATCATCAGCAGCACCATCGTCAGCATCATCAGCATCATCATCATCATCATCCTGCCCTCATGCTCCTCCTGCTCCGCGTAGTCTTTCCTCCTCCTCCTACTCCTCCTCCTCTTCCTCCTCCTCCTCCTCCTTCCCCTCCTCCTCCTCCTCCTCCTCCTTGAAGCTCAACGCGGAGAGGCTGCTGGTGGAGAACTGCACCGCCACGTGCAACAGGGGCTCGGGCAGCGCCATCGACTATGCCCTCGTCTCTAAAGGTACGACAGGCCACCTGAAGCTGCAGGCGGTCGAGGAGGTCCCTTGGAAGGATCACATAGGCCTGAAACTCACGATAAAGGACGGCAAGCAGAGGTGGTGGCACAGGAAGCTGGACATCGCGCACGAGCTCCCCACGGTCCCGCGGCCCAAGAAGCAGGCCGACCCGAACAGCAAGAGGCAGAAGGGCATTCAGAAGGCCAAGGAGGAGAGGCGCGCCAGGCTCCACGAGCACCTGCAGGCCGCCTTTGACGAGATGTACGATGATCTCGACGAAGAAGATGACACCAGGGAGGCTGTACCCACCACGGCCTTCAACATCCCAGTGCAAGTATGGGAAGAAGCGAGTGTAGCAGTTGAAGCCAGAGGACCGACCCCAGGAGTGACAGCCTGGCAGAGACCAGCCGCCCCACCGACAGCAACATCGAGATGCAAACAGAGCAAGTACCACTTCTTGCTGATGAGGGATCCACAGGGCCAGCAGAAGATCGACAGCCATTTTGCGAGGTGGATCACGACCCTGGAGCTTGCGACCCTCCAGCACCACGAGATCGACACAGACAAACAGGACGCCTACATGGGCAGAGGAAGAGGATATGCCATCAAGTGGGTCAGGACCTCGGCCACGCTGGCGCGAGCGCACCTCCGAGACCCACACCTCGAGTGGTGGCACATTGCGGTGACGCTCCTCAAGCGCTACGAGATGCTCAGGCGCACCGACAGGATCATAGAGGCCGCCAGCTGCAACGGCAAGATAGTCGAGATCATGCAGAAGGCCGAGGAGATGCAGATCCACGAGGTGTTCAACAAGGACGACGGCGAGGAGTTCAGAAACTGGAAGGCCATGATGAGGACGCTGCAGGACATCCCCGTCGAGGATGTGATCCCCGTCATCGAGACCAGCGAGAGGTACCAAGGGAGGGCCGTCGGGCAGGCACTCACCAAGTCGAGGAAGGCCTACCAGAGCTGGGCAATCAAGATGTGGAATGAAGCTCCGCGGCACCTCCACAACATGGTCAAGGATCCGAGACCTGAGACAGTTGAGAAGATCCAGCAAGGGAGATCCGTGGCGGACCCTGACCAGATCATGAGCAACCGAGCTGACGAATGGGAAAAGCACTGGGCCGACCCCAGCGTGACCCCCGACCAGATCCTCGACGGCATCCACATGGTCATGGGCCGCGCCTGGCAGCAACCCTTGGCCCCGCTCCAGCTGCAGCAGCTGGACCGCCTGCTCCCCGCCATCACAGCCACCAAGGCCAAAGGGATCGACAACATCGGGCCGCTGGAGGTGCAAAGGCTCCCGACTGAGGGGAGGCAAGGAATGATCGACCTCCTCAATGACATCGAGGAGGTCGGAGCGTGGCCAAGGCAGATGCTCGCGACCATCGGATCTGTTGTGCCCAAAGAAAAGGGAGGGGGCGACAGGATCCTAGGACAGCTCCCGTTCGTCACGAAGACGTGGAGCAAGCTCAGGGGCAGCATCACGAGCGAGTGGAGCGTCAATCTGAGCGAGTCCTGGGACACAGCAATGCGAGGCTCGTCGGCCCTACGGGCCAGCATCCTTCGAGCCACTCTTGACGAATCAGCGAAAGAAATGGGAATAACCACGGCCACTCTACTGTTAGACCTGGCCAAGTTCTACGACAGCATCAGCGTGGTCAAGCTTGCGCAGCACGCGCTGGAGCAAGGATACCCGCCCATCGTGCTCTGCCTTGAGGTTCAGATGCACCTGGCGCCGAGGCTGCTGAAGGAGCGGCAGTGGGTCAGCAGGGAGGCCCAGCCGTGGCGCTCCATCCAGGCTGGCTCTCCAGAGGGTGCACGGCTGGCCAAGGCCTTCATGGGGCCCATCCTCCACCGTGCGCAGCTCACGAAGCAGGCGGACATAGGCCTCTGGACGTTCGTAGACGACGCGGTCCTGCGCTCCCAAGGCACCGAGGCCAACGTGGAGAAGCAGCTGATCGACAACGGCGCCATGCTGGGCGAGTGCCTCAAAGAGGCGGGCCTCACGGTCTCCCCGAAGACCACGGTGATAGCAAGCTCTCCGAAGCTGGCCATCGCCATTGCAAAAGGCCTCCAGCAACGCGGCATACCCGCCAAGGCTGAGGGCAACTTCACTGACCTGGGCGTGGACTGCAACGCCGCGAGCATGCGCACACGACGCAAAGGCAGACAGATAATGCAAAAGGCCGCCAGGCGAGCCCACGCCATCAGGAGGATGCGCAGGATGGCAAGGCTCAAAGTAGTGACCAAGGGCCTCTGGACGACAGGAGCTCGAGCACAGGGCACCTACGGCCACCAGGTGCAGGGCCTGCCGCACTACGAGATCCTCAGGCTGAGGAGGCAGGCGGCGCAGGCGGCAGCAGGGCGCGGGCCAGGGCGGTGCCTCACCAGCACCCTCGCCATGCTCTACGGCAGAGGTGATCCAGCCAAGAGCATCCCGCGAGAGCAGCTGGCGGCCTGGCTGGACCAATGGTTCGCCCACCCCGAGCTGCACGCCAGGATCGCCAAGGCCTGGCAACCGTCGCTCAGGAGGCTCCGTCTGGCGGGTGAGAGCCGCTGGAGGAGAGTGCGTGGGCCAATATCGGCCACAGTGGCGACCCTCCTTGATGCAGGATGGGACCCTGTCGACCACGACTTCTGGGTCACGGACGAGGACGTGGGCTGGCGGTTCCCCAGCCCCGACCAGCCGAGCTTCGCGGAGGCGGCGGCGGACTACGTGGAGCTGCTCCTGGACTTCGAGCGGCCCATCGACAGGAAGCTCTGGAAGCAGGCAGCGCTGCACCAGGGATCCTCGGACATCGAGGGCGACTCCGACATGCTCATGATAAGGAGAGAGATGCAGCAGTTCCAGAAGCGGGGGGACGACGACCTCTGGGCGCTCGACGTGGCGGTCGTCGCAGCGGGCCAGTGGACCAGGCAGAGGCGCGCGGAGGCCGGCTACGATGCTCCTGACGCCTGCCCCCGCTGCGGCCAGGCGGCCGACTCTCTTTTCCATCGTGTTTGGGTGTGCGCCTGTAATCAGGGCCACCCCGATTTCGAGAAATCCGATTACCTCGTCCCTCGGGCTACCGCGTGCCACGAGGCATGGCCTTCGTACTGGCTGCGAGGGCTACCGAGTGTCGAGGCCACGACCCCCTCCTTCGACCTCGACCTCCCTCCCCACCGCTCCGAATTCGGTGATTTCGCGAGTGTCCCCAGAGACCCCGACGGGTTCCTCACGGTGTTCGGGGACGGCTCTGGTGGAGAGCACTCCTCGGACCCCCGCCGCAGGAGAGTTGGCTCTGGAGTTTGTGCCCTCGAAGCTCTCCCAGCAGGTGGATGGACCCCGTCGGCGGGGATTGTTTGTAGTCTTGGGGGTACCCGTCAGACTGTCCCGAGGGCCGAGCTTGCGGCCTTCGCCGAGGCCCTAGAATGCACGAGTGGGCCGCTCAGGTATGTCACTGATCATCGGCCCCTCCAGGACGGCTGGAACAGAGGTCGGCATCTCTCCCCGTCGTTCAGTTGTTCCAATGCCGACCTCTGGTTCAGAATCGGCCGAGCTGTGAGAGCTCGTGGCCCCGACCCCGTCCTAATCGAATGGACCCCATCCCACCGTGAGTCGGAAGACATACGCTCGTCCAGAGACTTGTGGTGGGCGGTGGGCAATGAATGTGCAGATGAGCTGGCCTCCCGAGGAGCGTCAGTTGCATGGTCTGAATTTGTAACGAGTGTACCCCACACTGATGCGGTGGATGCCGAGACCTTCCTGATCCGACGCAGGGCGCGGAGGGCCCTGGCGGAGGCCATCCGTGCGGACCCGTGGACCGAAAATCGCCCCTCGGCCCCCCGCCCCGTTCGGATCCCGAGACTCGAGCTGGCCATGAGAGCCTCACAGCACGAGTGGAGAAGGCTCGGCACGAAGTTTTACTGCCGCAAATGCAAGGTTTTCGTGAACCGCTCGAGGTTCTTCGCGGCAGCCCCGACAGTGTATGCTAACAGAGCCCCTCCCCCTGGAATCGCGGCCTTAAACGGCCGACGGGTCCTGGGAGGGCAGGTTTTAGACGAGTCCCACGCCTTACAGTACTGGGGGGAATTCAAACTCGTCTTTTGCAGTATGTGCGGTCTTACGGCCACCACAGACCCCCAGGCACCTCTGCAAACCGCGTGTTGCACCCACCCCGAAGGGGAGGCAGAATCTGGCGAGGATAAGGAGAGGCCTTCACCCTTGTGTGAAGGGCCCCCCCAAGATTGTTACAGAGGCCAATATTGAAGACCTCCGCCAGTAATTCACGTGTGTCGACGTTCGTTGTCGTCAGCCCACTAGTCCACTAGTCCTCCTCCTCCTCCTCCTCCTCGTCCTTCTTCTTCTCCTGCTACCGCTCCTACTACTACTCCGCCGCCGCCGCCTCCTCCTGCTCATCCTCACGCTCACTTTGCGGTCATTGGGGTCGATGGTCGACGGTGCCCCCCCTACTCCACCTACTCCTCCTACTCGTCTTCCTTCTCGTCCTCTTCCTCCTCCTCCTCCTCCTCCGTGTCCTCCTCCCCACCTCCTTCTCTTCCGCCTCTGTTTCCGCCGTCTCCTCCTCCTCCTTTTGCTAACCTCCTCCTCCTTCTGCTCCTCCTCCTCCTGCTCGTCCTTCTGATCCTCCTCCTCCACTGCCTCCTCCTTCTCCTCCTCCTGCTCCTCCTCCTCCTGCTCCTCCTCCTCCTGCTCCTCCTCCTCCTCGCCATCATCACCATCACCATCATCATCATCATCATCATCATCCTCATCATCCTCATCATCATCAATCTCATCCTCCTCCTCCTTCTCCTTCTCCCTCCTCGTGCTTGAGGAGGAGAAGGAGGAGGAGGAGGAGTAGGAGGAGGAGGAGGAGGGAGAGGGTTCGATCTTCGCAAAAAGGTGTTGCTGCTTTTGGGGCCTCTGGGGTGCCTCTTCGTCGCCACAGCTGGATTCCCTTTGAAATTGTGGTCGCAGCGCACCCTGGAGAGGTCTATGTCGAGGCGGGTGAGCGCTGCAATCTCTGGTCGAAACGCACCCCTGAGGGGGTCCGGTGGTTTGTTTCGAGGGGGGGGAGCCTTCCCCCCCCCCATCATCCCTCCTCTCCCTCCTTCTCCCTCGCTCCCTCGTGCTCTTCCATCACTCCGTCCTCATGCCTTCCCTCCTCCCTCTCTTGAGAGGAGCGGCAGGAGGGGGGGCGATCGATTGGACTCTTCGCCCCCCCCCCCCGTTCGTCGCCCCCCATTAAGCAACGCTCAATGGGAGGGGGCGGCGGAGGAAGCGTGTGAGTGGGAACAGGAGCGAGGACGCTGATGATACTGATGACGATGATGAGAAGGAGGAGGAGGAGGAGGAGGAGGAGGACGACGACGACGCCGACGCCGACGACGACGACGACGATGACGACGGCGATGACGACGACGACGACGACGACGACGACGACGACGACGACGACGACGACGACGACGACGACGACGACGACTGCCCGGGGCCGCGCCGCCCCAGGCCGACGCGGCGCGGATGGCGCCCGCCGTGCTCGCCGAGGCGCGCAGGGCCGCCGAGGAGGTGGTAGAGGAGCAGGCCCGCGCGCTGGGCGAGGCCTCCGCGCGCGCCGCCGGGCGCCCCGCGCCGCCGCGCCCCGCTCCCTGCTCCCTGCTCCCCTCGTTGCCCCCCCCTCCTCCTCCCCCCACTTCCCCCCTTCCCCCCCCTCTGCTCCTTCTTTCTGGTTTGCTCCCCTCCTCCTCCTCCTCCTCCTCCTCCTCTTCCTCCTCCTCCTCCTCCTCCTCCTCCTCTTCCTCCTCCTCCTCCTCCTCTTCCTCCACGGAGGTAGCAAACTACATAGGACGGGCCCTCGACGCAGGGCCACAACGCGAGCACCTGGATACATATTACCAGGACACAATTTTATCTGGCAGCGCGGGGGCTGTGGCGGACGGCATTCCAGTTGTCAGGGTGCGCAAGAACAAAGGCAAAGAGGGAGGAGCTCAGGAGCGATGCCGATTCCAGTTCTCGGTCAAGACCACGCTGTACCAGATCGAGGCGATCTTCGTGCGCCAACTGCGCAAGGAGGGAGCCATTCGCAAGACGGGATCGGCACCGACGGGATCGCTGGAGCGCGAGTTGGGCCGCCTGATCAATGGCCAGTAGCAGAGGTACGAGACACAGGTCAGGGCGCAGTTCACCGTGAGACGCCCCAGGCAATTTGCCGCAGTGAGCGCGAGGCCGACGGCCATGAGAAAACAGTCCAGCGCTGTCCAGTTTCGAGGGCCGATGCAGCCCGTGCGATTCCGCAGGCCTTCAGAACTAGTGAGCGTTTACCGAGACTCCCGACCTCTACCAACTCCGAGGCCATAGCTTCCCTGAGTATCATGTAGTGCACCGACCTCCCCCCCCGAGCCGAAGAAAAATTGAAGGGGGAGGGGAGGACCGAGCAGGGGGGAAGAGCGAGCGAGAGGGCACTCGTAAAGGCGGGCGGGTGCTACCCTGCCCGCGACCCCTTGCGCTGGGGAGGTCGGTTTAGGTAGGGCCCGAGCGTCGATTGGCGCCTGCGACCCCCTTTCATCAAGGACATCACAGCTAGGCCACCAGATGTTGGAAAGCAGCGCAGAGCCCAGAGCGAGCGTGGCACCGAACTGGCCCGAGAGCTCGATCGATCGATCGATCCTTCTCCTCCTCCTCCTCCTCCTCCTCCTCCTCCTCCTCCTCCTCCTCCTCCTCCTCCTCCTCCTCCTCCCCCCCTCCTCCTCCTCCCCGTCCTCCTCCCTCCTCCTCCTCCTCCTCCTCCTCCTCCTCCTCCTCCTCCTCCCCTCCTCCTCCTCCTCCTCCTCCCTCCTCCTCCTCCTCCTTCTCCTTCTCCTCCTCCTCCTCCTCCCCTCCTCCCTCCTCCTCCTCCTCCTCCTCCTCCTCCTCCTCCTCCCCCCCGTCCTCCTCATCCTCCTCCTCCTCCTCCTCCTCCCTCCTCCCTCCTCCCTCCCTCCTCCCTCCTCCTCCTCCCTCCTCCCCCCTCCTCCTTGCTTCCGGCTCCCTGGTTCTTCTTCCATCCCTGCTCCTCATGGCTCGTCCCCGTCGCACCCCCAGACGCATTGGCAGGGCGGGCCGGGCGGTTCGCCCGAGGTTTCCTCACAATTTATCAGAGACGCTTGCGACCCATCCCGCCACCGTGCCTAGGTTCCGGGTCAAAAGGACTTTGGGATGTTCGGTTGGATGTCGCGGGAGCCTTCTCGGGTGCCTCTGGGGGGCTGTTTTGAGGCTTCGTTCGGGGCCGTTTGGGGCCGTCTTGGGGGTGTCGTGGGGCCTCCTTGATGCCTCCTGGGGGGCCCTTTTGGGCGGAAGTCTAGGACTTGAGTTCTCTGGGCCCCTCTTGTGGCTGTTTTTGTTCCCTTTAGACCAATCGTGGGCGCCCTTTAAAGCCGACTTGGAGCGTCGGAAGTTCGAAGAGTCGAAGACCCTTACAACATGTAACAACCCATGATATATCAATGGTTTGGCCTCTCGGGGCCCTCTCGGGAAAGCTCTTGGGGCTCTCCTGGGGCGCCTCGACAGCTTCTTGGGCCGTGTTGGGGCAATCTTGGGCAACTTGGGCCGCACGTGCGGCGATTCGGAGCCCTCTGGAACCGTCTGGGCGAGTTTTGGGAGGTCTCCTGGCCCGTCTTTGGGCTCCCCGTGGCTGCGAGACAACTGTGCCACGACGTTCGCGGGAGCCCAGAGGGCACGCGCCAGGCCCCGTGAGTTCTGGCATTTCCAGGCCCAGGCTCTCCCAAGAATCCAGAGGAGGGGTGACTGAGGTTCGAGGCATTCGGCCCAATGACCTGAGGACATTTTAAATCATGCCTCAATTGCTGGTATGTCGGCGATGATCCTGAAGCTTGAAATTTGCAGCCGTGCCACGGATCCAGGACGAGCCGCTTTCAACATGTGGTTCTCGCCGTAGCGCCGCGCACGTTCGTATGAACAGTTTGCAGCAGCTTCTCGGATGGAGGGCGTGCTGTTTCCGAAATGCGGTTATCGCAAATTGTGGTTCTGGTTTTACCGCCGCACACATTCGTATTGTTTCATGGATGCGGTCCAGCTCCTTTTCAAAATGTGGCTCTCGTCTTAGTGCCGCGCGTATTCGTCTTGACAGATTGCAGCAGTTGCACGGAACCGTATGGTGTAAGTCCAGAATGGTGTTCTGGCACGGTGTATGGTTGTCAGGACGCAACGGTCACGTTGATTGGCGGCGTTCAAATCCCACGAATTGCTTTTTGGCGCGATTTGGGATTGCCAGGACGAAATAGTTAAGTTGACTCGTGGCGCTGAAGTCCTACGAATTGTGTTTTGGCACGATTGGGGATTATCAGCGGGTTATTTTCCAATGGTGCACCTCCCGCGATGAAGCATGTTTCCTTGCAGGGGCCCATGACACAGGAAACTTGGAGGCTGGGTTTCATGCAACATCGTTGATGCGTTTTGGATTTGCACTGATCCCTTCTCCTCTTCTTCTTGTCCTTGATCCCTTCTCCTCCCTCCCAGCGCCTTCCTTCTCTATCCTCCTCCCTCCTCCTCCCTCCCTGCTTCTTCCTCCTTCCTGCTCCTTCCCTTTCCGCCGCCCTCACTCCTCCTCTTCTCTCCCTCCCTCCCTCCCTCCTCCTCCTCCTCTTTCTCCTCTTCCATCCTCCCTCCTCCTCCTCCTCCTCCGCCTGCTCCTCCTCCGAATTCTCCTCCGATGCATGCCTGCATGTCTACAGGAGGTCATGGCCTCACCCACCTGGCCTCAGCAGGCCCGGACAGCCGTCCGATGTCGTGGTTCGTTCGTTCGTTCGCTCTCCCATCCTCCCTGCTCCGTCCCCCTCACTGCTGCTTCCTTCCCGCTGCTTCTTCCTCCTCCGCGTCCATCCTCCCTTCGCTCCCTCGCGCGCCGGGCGAGGCCGCTGCTCGCGGCGCCGACGGCGTCCCCTGCGGCGACGGCCCGCCCGAGGGCGTCGGTCGATCGCCGTCGCCGCCGCCGCCATCGGGCGAGCTGTCGGCCGAGCTGCGGGGCGCCTTCGGGGCGCTGGCCGAGCGGGTGGGCGAGCTGGAGGCGAGCTCGCGCGAGCCCTGCGCGTCCTGGCAGTTCCGTCCCTGGCGTCTGGTGCTCGATGAGAAGGCGCCAGTGTCGCGTCGATGTAGCGTCGACTAAGGTCCAGTAGCGTCGGTCGGCGGCGATTCGCAAGGAATGCGAGCGGGTGGGCGAGCTGGAGGCGAGCTCGGTGGCAACTCGCGGGAGCCCTGCGTGTCCTTGCAATTCCGTATCTAGCGTCTTGTTTTCGACGAGAAGGCGTGTCAATTAGCGTCGATGTAGCGCCGGTTAGCGTATAATAGCGTCGACTAAGGTCCATTAGCGTTGTTCAGCGTCGATTCGCAAGATCGGCGAGTGGGTGCGCGAGCTGGAAGCGAACTCGGCGGCAACTCGCGGGGGCCTTCTGTGTCCTTGCAGTTCCGTCTCCAGCGTCTGGTACTCTACAAGAAGGTGCCCGATTCGCGTCAAGTAGCGTCGGCTTTCATTAGCGTCGGTCAGCGGCGATTTGCAAGATAGGCGAGCGGGTGGGCGAGCTTGAGGCGAGTTCGGCGGCAATCCGTGGGAGCCCAGTGTGTCATCGCAAGCTTAGGGCGCAATTCGGTCTCTAGCGTCTGCCACTCGACGAGAAGGCGCAAGCGTCACTTCGATTAGCGTCGATGTGGCGTGGATTAGAGTCGATTGGGGTCGATCAGCGTCGATTCGCAAGGAAGGCGAGCGGGCGGACGAGCTGGAGGCGAGCTCGGCGGCAACTCGCTGGAGCCTTGTGTGCCCTCGCAGAGCCAAAAGGCAACTTTAGGGGGGGATAGGCTCAGGGGGGAATGCATCGACCCCAACTCGCCATTCATCGCCGATTGGGGCCCGATAGCCCACCTCGCCCAGGAACGTGCGGTTTAGCCATCGAGGGCTCATCACTGGTCTATCGGCGGTGCATCGCCGATTCCAGGTCGATGCTCCCTCCCTGTGGCAGTCCCCCCTATCGTGGCCCCGCGCAAGCGGTTCGGGCGTAAATGTTTGCAAACGAGGTTCAGGGGAGCTTTGGTCTGGGTTGGCGCTGTACTCAGTTTCTGGGCCGGGCCGTACCGGGTCTGACTCGCCAGGTCTCGCCGTCCCGGGCGAGACTTGGCGAAACTCGAGGCCTGGACTCCAGACCTCGATCAGCGGCCCTGAGTTTTGCTTGAACCATTTTGCAATTCCATCTTTAGAGCGCATCGGCGTGCGCTAGCATCTGGTAATCGATGAGATGGTGCCGAGGCAGCATCGATTAGCGCCGATTCAGCGTCGATTGAGATTGATTAGCGTGATTCGCAAGAGCCAGGAAGATGACATGCGGCGGCGCGCCCGGGGGGTGGAGTGACCGTGGGCAGGCCTCTTCTGAAGGCGGCGGTCTTGTCGGAAGCCCTTGGGCCTTCTGAGCATCGCTCGGTGCCTGCGGGGATGGCTCGGACATGTTCTCGGAAGGCCCCAGGCCTTCTTTGAGCCTCCCGAGGAGGCCCGCTCCTTCTCTAGGGGAACGAACAATGACATAAACATAGAAGCCTGGAGGCTCGCGGAGCGCGCCGGGGGCGGCGCCGGAGGCGCCGCCAGGGGGGGCCAGCGCGGATCCGGGACATCCGCGCGGACCTCCGAGTTTCCATGTTCCCGTCATGGCCCGCTCCCCTGTTCTCGCGGGTCCCCCCCCCCCGGGCTCGTCGCCGAGGCGGGGGCAGGCCTCCCGCGAGTTGCTTCGCGGGGGCGGCAGGCGAGAGCGGCCGCCGCGGACCTGGAGGCGAGGCAGCCCGAGGGGGCCGAGGGCCGCCTGGCCGCCCTGGAGGGCCTGCCCCCGCGGCTCGAGGCGCTGTCCCGGCGCGTCGAGGAGCTGGTGCCGCTGCCGCCGAGGGTCGACAGGCCCACGGGGCCCCCCTTCGATCCGTATCTGATGGGCCCGTGTTCCACCACCACCACCGTGAGCTGGAGGGGGAAGGGGTCCTCCTCCTCTTCCTCCTCCTTTTCCTCCTCCACCTCCTGGAGTCGATGAGATAGCGCCGAAATACCATCGGTCAGCGTCGATGTCGTGGCGATGTCGCGTCGTTTGGCGTCGATTTAGCGTCGGTTAGTGTCGATTCGCAAGAGCCGACAAGATGATACGGGAGGCACCCATGAGTTGCCACCGAAGATTCGATATCGATCTTGGCCAGCTCGGTCCGATGCGATTCCGATATGCCGACGGCCCGGCGCGGCACGATGCCCGCAGGGCGCTGCTGTGTTCGCAGGGCGCTGCTGCGGGGGATCGACAGGCCCACAGTCCGTTTGAGATGGCTTTTGTTCATCCTGTGGCGCGTGGCCTTACCTGGTCTACCCCCCCCGTCCCTGGTAAAGGTAACGTACGTGGGGGTGGGGCCTGGACACCTTACACACGCAGGTGCTCCCGCGCATGCTGTGGCGATCGCAGCGCACCGCCGCCCCGACGTGACCCACCCCGCGTTACCTACGGGACGTGCAGACGACCACAGCCACCGCTTTGCTTTTGTTGCCGCCTTCCAGCCAGCAGAAACAAGGCAGTGGTTGTGGTCATTTTCGTTAAGCTTGGCACCAGGGAAATGTCCACAGCCACTGCTTCTTTTTCGGCCGGCTGGAAGGCGGCGCAAACAAGAAGCAGTGTCTGTGGTCAGTTTCCCGTCCCGCATTACCGTTACCCCTGGACCCCGACAGCCTCCCCGGGTAAAGACCATTATTGGAACGAATGGAAGCACTACCTCTTTCGATTTGATCGATCCACTTCGACACGGGCTCTGGTCTGGCCGGCCCGATCCGACTCGATTCCGATGTTCCGACGGTCCGGTGCGGCCCGAGGTTCGCTTGGCGCTGTTGTACATTTTGGCGCGGCCGATCCGATTCGATTCGGACAATTCCGTGCCCATTGCATATTTTTCCATCGCAGTCTCCACTTGTGGGGCGCGTGCGGCCTCCGCGCGCGATCGGACCTGACCTGACCTGGCGGCCCGATCCGACGCATGTTCCGATCTCCTCCGATTTCCCGATTCGATGTTGACCGCTGCTGTAGGCTGGCCGCGCGCCTGGACGAGGACTTGGAGACGCTGTCCGCGCGCTTGGGCGAGGACCCTAGGGCGACGAGAACTCCCCGAGGATCCTCAGGACGTGAGTGGGCCGCTAGCACAAGGTGTGTTTGGGCTTCCCGTTCAGCTTCACAGGCGGATCGCATCGCGTTCGCCCCATTCAGCTTCCCCCCCGTTCAGCTTCCCCATGACATCCCCTGCGTCGTATTGAGGGGCTCCGGTGGACAAGTACACGTTCGCACCAACACGGATTCTGAGGATCATGGAGCTCCGTGCATGGAAGCTTTGCGTCCGTGTTCGCCTCCCTCTCGCGGCCCGTCGTGGGGCTCCCGCGGGGCCGTCCGAGAAGAGAAGTCCACCCGGGATTCAAGGAGTGTATGTGTGTGTGTGTGCATGCGAACGTGCGTGCGTGTGTGTTTGTGTGTGCGTGAATGTGTGTGCGGATGTTTGTGTGTGTTTGTGTGTGTGTGTGTGCGTGCGTGCGTGCGTGCGTGCGTGCGTGCGTGCGTGCGCGTGCGCGTGCGCGTGCGTGTGCGTGTGTGTGTGTGTGTGTGTGTGTGTGTGTGTGTGTGTGTGTGTGTGTGTGCGTGCGTGCGTGAGTGTGTGCGTACGTGCGTGCGTGTGTGGGCGGGCGGGTGGAGGCTGGGCGGGTGTGTGCGTGTGGGTGGGGGGAGGAGGAGGCGGAAGAGGAGGAGGAGGAGGAGGAGGAGGAGGAGGAGGAGGAGGAATAGGAAGAGGTGGAGGAGGTGGGACGGTGAGGCAGTGAGACAGTAGGTCGGGGGAGGGGCGGGAGGATGAGCAGGTGTGCGGGACGAAGAGGAGGAGAAGAAGGAGGATGAAGAGGGAGGAGGACCAGCGACGAGGAGGCGGGGGAAAGGTGTGAGGGAGAGGGGACGAGGAAGGGGAGGAGGAGGAGGAGGCGGAGGACAACGCAGCGACGAGTGGGGGGACGACAAGGTTGGTGGTGGCGTTGGGGTCGGCAGTGGTGAGATGGCGATGACGACGACGAAAACGACGATGACGATGATGATGACGACGATGATGATGCAGATGTTGTTGCTGATGATGATGACGGCGACGATGATGCTGTTGATGATGATGCTGATACTGATGCTGATGCTGCTGATGGTGATGATGACGACTCTGGTGATGATAATGATGATGATGATGATGATGATGATGATGATCATGATGATGCTGATGGTGATGGTGATGGTCACGGTGATGGCGATGATGGTGATGGTGATTGTGATGGCAATGATGGTCATGACGATGATGATGATGTTGATTGTGTTGGCGATGATGATGATGATGATGATGATGATGATGATGATGATGATGATGATGATTATGATGATGACGATGATGATGATGATGATGATTCTGATGATGCTGATGCTGATGCTGATGCTGGTGATGGTGATGGTGATGATGACGACGGCGGCAGTCCAGGAACTCCGTGGTTTGGCACGGCTGGAGCTGCCGGCGCTGCCGGAACGCATCGACAAGTTGTCCGCGCGTTTGGACGAGGAGCTCACGGGAGTCTGATGATGATGATGATGATGATGATGATGATGATGATGATGATGTGATGATGATGACGACTGAGGTTGGCGATGATGGTGATGATGGTGATGGCGATGATGGTGATGGTATGGATCGTGCTGATGACGGCGGCGACGGTTCAGGAACTACAGTGTCTGGCAGGTCTGGAGCTGCCAGCGTTGCCGGAGAGGATCGACAAGTTGTCCGCGCGTTTGGACGAGGAGCTCCAGGGAGTGGCGAGATCGGAGGAGCCCATCCCCCTAAAGACCTCCTCCTCCCTTCCATTCTCCTTCCTCCGACCCCCTTTAGCATTTCGCGTCGTCTCATCCCTGGTTCTTGCATCTGTGCGAGCGGAGCGGGGCGCGCGCGGAGAGAGTGCCGCTCCGTATCCGCTCCGCCGCCCTCTCTGTGCCAGATACCCTGCCTGGCGGCCAACGTGGTATGTTGCGCCGCCCAGGCCAGGCACCATTTGTTAAGCGAGCCTGTGTCCGATATATTTGTATACATATGTATATCTTGTGTGTATATATATATATGTATAGACCGATGTCGAAACAGAGAGAGAGAGAGAGAGAGAAAGATATTTGAAAGGTTCCTCGAAACAGTGCTTGTACTTTGGGGTTCTTCCCTTCTCAGGAACTGGACCCGTTTGCCGCTCCGGCGGCCCCGTTCCCGTCGGTACCCGCCACATTTGGGCCCCTTTGCCGCCCCAGCGGCACCGTTCCCGGTCCGTCGCCGCCCCATCCAAGCCTGTTTGCCGTCCCGGCGGCCCCGTTTCCGTCCGTCCCCGCCACATTTGGGCCCCTTTTGCCGTCGGGGTTGGACAGACCTCCTACCCCGACACGCCGATTAAGGAATTGGCCGTTTTCGGTTCGCGAGAGGGCGGCGCGGCCGTCGTTCTCGCGGGTCCAGGTCCGTCGGTTTCGGCCCCAGGCCGTTCTCACTAAGGGGAGGTCTACTAAAGGGAGGTTTGTCCACTGCCGGTGCCGCCCCAGCGGCACCGTTCCCGGTCCGTCGCCGCCCCATCCAAGCCTGTTTGCCGTCCTGGCGGCCCCGTTCCTGCCCGTCGCCGCCCCGTGTCTCCGAATACCCACCCTTCACCGCCGCCCCCTGCAGCACCCCACCCCCACTGCATTGCATTGCCATCGCATTGCGTTGTTTTGTAGTGTGTTCCATTGCTTTGCATTGGTTTGCATGTGCACTGCTGGGCATTGCTGTGCATTGCTTAGGATTGATTTGCATCGCTTCGCGTCGCAATCTATTGCTTGACAGTTCTTTTTGCATTACTGTGCAGTGTATGTTGCGCTGCTGTGCGTTGCTTTGCAGTGCGACGTATTGCGTTTAGTTGCTGCACGTTGCGTTGCATTGCTTTGCTTTGATTTCCATTACTGTGCAGTGGTTTGCGATCATTTGCATTGCGATGCATTTCGTTGTATGGCTTTGCGTTGCATTGCGTTGCATTTCGTTGCATTGTTTTGCATTGCGTTGAACTGCTTTGCATTGTTTTGAGTTGCCATGCGTTGCATTGGTTTGCATTGCTTTGCGCCACATTACATTGTGTTGCATTGCTGTGCATTGGGTTTCATTGCATTCTGTTGCATTGCTTTGCAGGTTTTGCAATGCTATGCATTACGCTGCACCGCATGGACTGCGCCACACGGATTGCACCACCTGGATTGCACCGCATTTGATTGCAACATCCAGATTGCGGCGCATATATTGAAAGATGATATCGTTGTTTGGTGTCTACGTTGGCCAACCCGCACACACTCAGCTTTGTGTATTCCCCCTACCCCCGTCAACTCCTCCCCCTCTTCCTTGGACAACCGCGCTGCCAAACTCGAATAAGAAAGTGTTGCATTAACATGGCATGCTTCCAGAGGTCTGCGCGGATTTCTCAGATCGGCGTTGGGCTCCCCTAGCGGCGCCGCAAGTGCAGCCTTTGGTGCACTCCACGCGCATAGGAGTTGGGGTCCAGCGCCGACCCAACAAGTCCGCGCGGATCTCCCGAAATTATGTTGATGCATTTGCTCGTTCCTTTATCTTCCCTGGGCGACGGCAATTCCAAGCCACGCCGAAATCGGCAGCCATGATGTCCTCCTCCTCCGCCTTCTGCAAGAAGACCCCGCCTCCTCCTCCATTCTCCTTCCTCCCTTCCCCCTCCACCCACCCCCTCGTGGGTTGTTGCTCCCTTTGTGGGGTTACCTCCTAAGGCACGCGTGTTGGCGGCGCTATTGGAGGTGAGCCCCAAAAAGGGAGCCAGAGGACAGTCCCTTGCTTATGTCTGGTCCCCCTATCAGGCTCTCGTGCCCCAGCCTGCGTTCAGGCACGGTACCCTTTGGGGGTCATTCATTCATGCATGTTTGCCACCACCGCGAACGCACAGCCGCCGCTGATGGCCAGCAGCGTGCCGCTGGCTGCTCGCGGCCCCTTCCAAGAAGGGCCACCGACAATTCGGCCAGGAGATCTCGCGAGGAAACTGCCCTGGCCACGCAGGGCCGCCCAACACTTACGGTGGAGGCCCATGCCAAGAAACATCCTGCTTGCCTCCAGGGTGCCCTGGGGTTCCTGGGTTTCGATGGTTCTCACACGGAAAGCGTGACGCTCCCACACCAAAAATCCATGGACGTCTTGGGGTCCTCAGGGGTGGGTTTCTTGTGGAAGGTGTTTTGTGGACGGGCCTCCACTGTATCGGCAGTTTGCAAGCGTGGGCGAGAGGTGGCACAGAGGAAGGAAACATCTCGCGGCATGGATTGTCTGCCTCTGGCTGATTGAGTGCTTCTCTATGGGATCGAAACATGACAGACACACAAAAACTCGGAGGTCCGTGCGGATTTCTTGGATCCGCGCTTGATCCCCCCCCTGGCGCGCGGAGCTGCGGATCTGTTCGTTCCCGTATTAACACCTTCTTCTTCCTTTTCTTTTTCTCCTTTGGGGACGTTGTGCTGCACAACCGTTCTCCATGGTCCCTCCTCCCTGGATGACGACACTGTCAAACCACGTCGACATCGACAACCAAGATATTAGCTAACAGCTTTTGCTGATAGGTTTCCAGTGGGCTCAAAAGAGACCATCTTGACGCCCCAGGGGGTCTGGGCGGGATCCGGACAGATCCGGACAGATACCCTCCAGGAGCTGCTCTCGGCGAGGATCCAGGCGCTGGCGGCCCGGCACGAGCGCGAGGGGCCGAGGCCAGGCTCGCCGGGGTCGGGGGCCAGCGCCGCCAGGGCGGCGCGCCGGGCGGAGGAGGAGAGGCCGCCGGAGTCGCCGAGGGAGGCGATCGCGCGGCGGCAGGCCGAGGGTGAGAGCTCCGAATCTGCGGGGCCGGGGGTGGTCAGGGGCAACTATCGGGGGCGGAAAAGAGGGGGAGGAGGAGGAGGAGGAGGAGGAAGAGGAGGAGGGAGGAGGAGGGGGAGGAGCAGGAGGAGGAGGAGGAGGAGGAGGAGGAGGAGGGCGGGGTCGGCAAAGAGGGGGTGATGACTAGGGGGGGTGAATATCATGGCGTGGGCCATGATATTTCCCCAGATTTCATGGCGCCTCTTCTTATTTCATCACGTCCCTGGCCCCGCCGCGGGCCGCGCACATGCCGCCGGTCATGATTTGCACCCTCCCCTCTTGGACACCCCCCTCTTGGCCGCTCCCGAAACTACAGATGCGCGCCTCGGGGGCCCCAACTGGAGTTACCCCAGACCGCAGGATGATACGGGCGCCCAGCCCTCCCGAGTTATCAGGGCTGGGGGCGGCCAGGGGTACAATGGAAACCCATGCCAAGGAATACCCGGCTTGCCTCCATGGGGTTCTGGGTTTCTTGGGTTTCGGTGGTCCTGCTATGGAGAGCGCGACGTCCCCACACCAAAAATCAATGGATATCCTGGGGTCTCAGGGGTGGGTCCCTTGTGGAAGTTTCTCGTGATCGAGCTCCTGCTGTCACTACAGACTCGCGCCCCGGGGGTCCAAACGGGAGCTGCCCCGGGCCGCAGGTATCCCGGATCGTGCGGGCGATTCGCCCTCCCGAATCGTCAGGGCTTGGGGCACCTCAGGGTATAACAACAGATTCGCGCAGCGGGGGCCCAAACTGGACTTACTCAGGAGGGGAAAAAACACACAGACACAATTAATCGTCGATCCCCAAGAAAATAGGCGAAAATATGGGAATTGGGGGGGAAGACAAAAAACCCAGAAAATATGAGAAAATATGGGGAATATGTTTATTTGTGTGTATTTATTTGTGTGTTCTGGGGCCCCTTTACTTACCCTGGACCGCAGTCGCCCCGCCTCGTTCGGGCGTTCTCAGAGGGGCGGCCACAATTCAGAGGCAACGGCCGGGCGGGGACGGGCTCGAGGTTTGAGCTGCGAGGTCTGAGGGTTTGAGCTGCGAGGTGTTCGAGTGTTTGATGGGCCTGTTTTCTGCTACCACCACCATAAGTTGGAGGGGGAGGGGGTCCTCCTCCTCCTCCTCCTCCTCCTCCTCCTCCTCCTACTTATGGTGGTGGTGGTGGAAAACAGGCCCACCAAGTGTTGGCGTCGGTCCTCGGCGGTTTCGCGGCCTCGGGATGCGCTCCAGCGGCTGCGCCTCGTCGAGGGGCGTCCCGGGCGTGCCCGGATCGTCCCCACTGGCCGCGGGAGGCGCGAGAGTACACGGGGCCCGAACGCTGCGGGGCAGCGATAGGGGAGGATAGGCTGAGGGATCGGGCGAAGAGAACTATGCACATGCACCGATCCTGGCAAGGCCCATCCTTGACCCAGGATCGGTGCATATGCCTTCCTGGCCAAGGTAGAAGGGCGTATGCACCGATCCTGGGCTCAGGATGGGCCTGGCCAGAATCGGTGTATGTGCATAGTTCCTTTTCCTCTAGAGGGAGGGATGGATCGCTTGCTAGCCCCGCTCAGCCCAGGCACGTGGGGATTTGTTATCGGGGGCCTATCGCCAATCTATCGGCGATGTGTCGCCGATTGCAGGTCGACGTTCCCCCCCTTATGCCGGTCCCCCCTATCGCTGACCCTCGCCACGAGCGGCGAATACATCCGCATCCGCGCCCTGGTGGTCTGAACCCTCGAAGAACACAAACGGCATCAACATACAATTTCTCGAAGGTCCGCGCGGATTCCCTGGATCGGCGTTAGGTCCCTCTGGCGGCGCCTCCCCTGGCACGCTCTGCGCGCCAAGGAGGGGGGTCCAGCGCCGATGCAAGAACCCGCACGGACATCAGAGAAATCTACATTGCTCAGGCATTACGGCAGGTGCCATCAACCCTGGACGACCAAACCCATTATGGAAGAGGCATTCCGCAAGGTCGGGATCAGACGCTCCCAAGAGTGCCCAAGAGGCTACACGAGCCTCCCAAGAGGTGCCCAAGAACCCCGACGAAGTTTTGGGGGTGTCTTGGGAGCCTTTTGGGAACCTCGTTGGGCTTCCTGGAGGTTCCTTGGGGGTGCCTGGGGGCCACGTGGGGGCCTCTCGGGGGCCTCGGGCTCCGGGAACCCCCGGGGGGTGGTATTCTGACCCGGGACCCTCCCCTGGTACCCCCCCAGGCCTTACCCATCCTTTGGCGGGGAAGGGACCATCGGGAAGGGGATTCCCTTCGACTCAACTACGGCGTTGCTCAATTTCGGGGCTCGCAGCCGACTATTAGCCTGACACGTATCGGAATTCTAGACGTTTCGCGTAACCCCACCAGCCCATCCAGAAACGATGCCCAAAGGAATTGCCTCGATCAGGGAAGTGGGCAGCACATAGAGGAAGGGTCCCCGTGTGGAGGCCCCTTGGAGCGTCTTGGGTGCCTCGGAGAGCTTCGTGGGGCCTTTGGGGGGTCTCTTGGGAGCATCCTGGAGGCCTCTTGGGCGCCTGTTGGGGCCTCTTGGGGCCCTCTTGAAGCGCTCTTTGGAGCCTTGGGAGCGCTCTTGGGGCCATCTTGGAGGACATCGATCAAACAAGAAGCGAGCATTAGTTGGCGTTGCCCCTCGGGAGCCCAGAACATCGCCTCTTGGGGCGCTTTTGGGGCGCTCTTGGAGCGCTCTTGGGGCCGTTTTGGGGCTCTCTTGAGCCTCTCTTGGAGCCCTCTTGGGCCATTTTGGAGCCATCTTGAGGCCTCGGATGGCCATCGGAAGCGAAAAGGCGAGAAAGTCAAAAACATGTTTTCCTAAGGTGTTGGCCTCTTCGGGGACTCCTGGGGGGGCTCTTTGGCCACTTGGAGCCGTCTTGGAGGGGTCTTGGGGCATCTTGCAGCATCGTGGGAGCCATTATGAGACATCTTGGGATATCTTGAGCCATCTTGGAGGTCATCTCGGGCTCTCCCAGGCGCTCTTGGAGTCATCTTCATCGGTTCCCCCCCTAGGAGGCCAACATGTGGCTAAAACCTTGGTACAATCAATGATTTGGCATTCTCGCCGGGGCATCTTGGAGCATCTTGGGGGCCCCTGGGGGGTTTCTTGGGGGCCTCTTGGGGGCATCCTGGGGACCTCTTGGGGGCATCCTGGGGGCCTCGTGGGGCTTCCCGGCCACCTCTTGGGGCCCTCTTGGGGCACCCTTGGGAGCCTTGGGGGCCATCTTTGGGCCATCTTGGGTGAGATCGATCACAGGAGAAGGGGCCCCCAATTAGGGTCCCCCCTCACGAGGCCAACATGGGGCCAAAACCTTAGTACAGCCAATGCTCGTTGCTTTCTCGCGGAGGCCGTTTTGGACGCTCCAACGCGTCGTGAAACCCCCCGCCCAGGTCCAGGGGAGGGGGCAGGGGGAGGGGTCAAGACTCCCTCCCCGCCCGCAAGCCGTCTCGCTCACTCCCGCCCGCCCTCCTAACACATACGTAGCACCCGAGTCTGGCCCGAGCCTCAGCACATTCAGCAGTTGTCTTTGGACGGGCAGCTAGTGGGGGCCAATCCGCAGCCGTCGCCGCAGCCGCCGCCGCGCCGCCCGCCGCCGCCGCCGCCGCCGCCGCCCCCGCTGCGAAATCGCCGCCGCCGCCGCCCCCGCTGCCAAATCGCCGCCGCCGCAGCCGCTGCCGCCGCAGCCGCTGCCGCCGCCGCCGCCACCGCCGCCGCCGCCGCCGCCGCCTCCGCCACCGCCGCCGCCGCCGCAGCCGCCGCAGCCGCCGCCGCCGCAGCCGCCGCCGCCGCCGCAGCCGCATCCGCCGCCGCCGCCGCCAAGTGTATTCGGTATTTTGTTGACAGGGATGGTGGGGGGGAGGCCGCATCGGATTGGCTGCGCGTGCTCCGGATTTGGTAGGGGTGCTCGCATGGTTCTGGGTTGGTTACTAGTTGCCTGTGGGAGGGGGTGTTGATTAATAGGGAGCAGTGATAAACTCTTCCCCGAAGGGGAAGAAGGAGGGGTAATAGAGGGAACGCTCTAGACCACCTACGCCAAAAGGGCTGGTGGGATTGTCGAGGACACGCTTTGTTGTTACCACCTTTTGGCTTCGGTGCCGTCCTTGTCGTCCGATGTGTGTGCCCCACACCATCAGGGAGACGACGACGAGGCGGACGAGGAGCGGGAGGCCCAGGAGGAGGGCGAGGGCGGAGGAGAAGGAAGTCCAGGAGTTGCGCTTCTGGGACGACTCGTGTTCGCTAGGAGTGGTGGGGATGTTCTGACCTCCCCAAATCATGCATTATCATCACAAGTCGCTCGTTGAATGGTTTCTGATGCGCCAGGGCCGAGGAAACAAAGGTGGAGGAAGAGAAGGACGAGGATCACCAGAGACAAAATTACCACTACCACCAGCTAGGGGGGTGGCTGTCCCACCCTCTCGAGCTGGTGGCACCTCGTTCCGGGCATGCCTCCAGACAGTTCCCGGAAGGAGGTGCCACCAACTCGAGGGGAGGGAGTGGCCACCCTCCTAGCTGTTGCTAATGGTGCTTTTGTCTCTCCTGAAAGAAGGAGGGTGGGGAGGAGGAGGAGGAGGAGGAGGAGGAGGAGGAGGAGGAGCAGGAGCAGGAGCAGGAGCAGGAGAGGGAGGAGGATGAGGAGGAGGAGGAGAGGAGGAGGAGGAGGAGGAGGGGGAGGGGGAGGGGGAGGGCAGGAGGACAAGGACGAGGACGAGGACGAGGACGAGGACAAGGACGAGGAGGACGAGCAGGACGAGCAGGACGAGGCGGCGGACAACCACGACGACAACGACGGCGGGGAGGGAGCAGGGGGACGAGCCGCAGGAGGAAGACCGAGCGGGAGCGGGGCAGCCCCGGAGACGTCAGCGGAGGCCTCGGAGCCCGGGGCGGCGTCGCCGGTGGTGGTGCCGGAGGCGATGTCGGGGCGGCAGACGGAGGCCGACGAGAGGAGCGATGAGCTCGAGGCGGCCACCCCCCACGATTGTGGGGCCCAGTGGGAGCCCTCCTCCTCCTGCTCCTACTCCTCCTCCTGTTCCTCCTCCTCCGCCCTCCTTCTCCTCCTCCTCCTTGTCCTCCTCCTCCTCCTGCCTCTCCTCCGCCTCCTCCTGCTCCGTTGCCTCCTCCTTCTCCTCCTCCTGCTCCTCCTCCTCCGCCCTCCTCCTCCTCGTCCTCCTCCTCCTCCTCCTCCTCCTCTTTGTCCGTCTCCTCCTGCTCCTTTGCCTCCTCCTCCTGCTCCTCCTCCTCCGCCGCCGCCTCCCCCCTCGTGGACAGTTGGTCTCGAAGAAGAAGAAAAACAGCCAAAAAAGAAGCGGCACACATATAAACTGTTGGGCGCTCCGCGCGGATTTCTTGAATCCGCGCTGGACCACCCCGCAGCGGCGCCTCTGGCGGCGCTCCTGGCGTGCCTCCAGCGGCACCAGGGAGGGGTGTCCAGTACAGATCCAAGAAATCTGCGCGGAACGCCAACAGTTTTTCTCTTGGACAGTTGGCCCGATCGGCTACACCGGAGCCTTATGCACCTTGGCAGTTCCAGAGTTTCAGGACGCATCAGCGTCGATTCGCGTCTTGGTAGTCGAGGAGACAGCGCCGATGTAGCACTCTTCGGCGGCTAGCGAGGGGGGAACTGAGAAGAACAAGGCCTTCTCAGCAGGCGGCGAGGCTTCTCAGAAACCCTCGCGCCTTTGAGAGGGTTTTCTGTGTCTTCGGGGAAAGCTCGGAAAACTTCTCAGAAGTCCGAGCCTTCTGAGAAGGCCTCCTCCTCACTTCCCTCGCTCGCCGCCAAGCCCTCCTATTTCGGCGGGGAAATCCGACACCACCTTTCACCGATTAACGATCCAGGTAACTCGATCGGCGGCGGGGCTAGGGCTTGAAACTTGTCAAAGGCCTGGCAAAATTCGAACCCTACCCTTGCCTTCCATCGACTCAGGGGAATAGATGGTTGGTGGGGGTAAGGTTCGGATGTCGCCAGTCACAAGTCATGATGATGATCAAGCCAAGAGAGAGAAAGAGAGAAACGGAAAGAGAGAGAGAGAGAGAAAAAGAACAACAAAAAGTAACAAAGCAGAAAGAGAGACGCTGTGGACATTGTATGCATTCTAGGTGAATTAGCAAGTGCAAACTGGCCGCTGGAAGCAGATTTCCAATGGCACTGCTGTGAAACAACACGCCAGGCAGAGACGACGACGGCGACCACGACAGCGACGGCGACGACGAACGATGACGACGAGGGAGACGAGGAGAGGACGAGGGCGACGGAGACGCTGAAATGAGGACCGCCTTGGGCTCGGGAGGAGCCTCTAGTGCTTCGGGCCGCTGCTTTGATTTCCGTCGGGGGCCCTGGTCGTGGCCGAGGCTCGCCGTGGCCATAGGAGCCCCCTCTGCTCCTTCGCCCCGGGGAGGGCCGGGGGGGGGGGAAGACGGGGGCCCCCTGAGATCTGGGCGTTGCAGTTGCTTCCCACCGGACGGTGAATGCCGCAGGAACATGGGTCTATCGGAGGTTGGTAGACCTCCCACCCTGACACGTCGACTGGTGAATTGGCCGTTCGCGGCCGTCATTTTTGCCGGTCCAGGTCCGTCGGCTCCGGTCCTAGGCCGTTTTCATTAAAAGGAGGTTTATTAAAGGGAGGTTCCGCCGAGTCTAGGGCTCGGGTGGTGATTCTTCGCGATGTTGCAATTTGCTCTGGGGGGGGGTCGTGAAGGGGGGGGAAAGGGGTCCCAAGGTGGGGTTTGGGAGCGAACCCAGCCAGAGTCGACTACACCCACGAGTAACCTTTCAACGGATTGACATGTGGTGCGGGGCCAAGGGGCCCCCCCGATCGCCGAACGCGATCAGGTAATAGCGTCTTGCGCGCTTGTGTTTGGTTCCCCCGCGGCCCCCAAACAGCCGCGCACCAAAGGTCACCTCTTACCCAGGGTCGCTTTTCCGCGTAGTCGATAGATGCTCACATGTCGTGTTTCCACGGGCCATCTTGAACGATGTTCCCCCTGACCCCGCCTCTGCCATACCCTCATTACCAATCCGTCCCCCTGATGTTCGCAACGTCAGAATCAGGGCCCTCGTCGCCACGATTGGATTCTTCCCGGCATTCTTGTCAGAACGCACCGGCACTCCCAGGAGAGTGTTCCTTTTCTGTTGTACATTTTCTATTGTCCTACTGTACCTTTTCTGTTGTATCGAAACCTTTTCTGTTGTCCTATTCGCCTCTGGCGGCCTTTCTCTCCGTTTCCTGTTCTCCTCGACCCTCCACGGGCCTCTCGTGTTGGTTGAAAACGACCCCGGATGGAGAATTGGCCACCAGGGGAAGACCCGCCCCTCGGGAACAGCAGTTGCGGTGATCGCGGTGTCGAGGTCCTGAGGAGGCGGGCTGGCACCATGCGTGATCGCCAAGACGCAACAATCGAGATGATTCGCGGCGTCGAACTTCCGAGAATGATGCTTTGGCAGGCTTCAGGACCCTCCTCCTCGGGGTGCAGGTCCCATTCCCCTCGGGACCCGCCAGCGGGCACCGAAGAAGCCCTGGCGGGGGGGGCGGCGTGCACGACAGTGAGAGCGAGGTGCGTCGGAGGGCTCGCGCGGCCGCAGAGGCTCGCGGCGGCCGTGCAGCCGCGGCCGAAGAAGATCGCGACTGTCGACGACGACGGACAGCGGCCGACGACAACGACGGCGTAGACGGCTCACGGTGGTCGACGATGTCGATGATGACGACGACGACCACGACGACGACGACGATGTCGACGACGACGACGACGACGACGACAGAGGACGGGCGACGGGCGACGGGCGACGGGGACGGGCGACGGGCGGCGGGCGGCGGGCGACGAAGGACGTCGACGACGACCGACCGACCGACCGATCCCTGGATCTCTCTTCTGGGGCGCGTTCTGGTCAGAGCTTTGAGGGAAGCCCAGCAGGTGCCCACGCAGAGGCGCCCCAGAAGGGCCAGGAACGGGATAACTCACTCCAGATCGCGCTGGAATGCTCCAAGAGCGTTCCGCAATGCTCTGAGGAGGCCGCGACGCCCGCTACATTACGCAGACACGCCAGACCTCACAGGTTTTTTATCTAATCGCTTCGCTCATTCCGCCGGCCCCGGAGCCCTCTTTAGAGCCTCTTGGGGGCCTCTTGGGGACCTCCTGGGAGTCTCTTGGGGCTCCTTGGCGGCGTCTTGGGGCCCCCTTGGCCTCTAGGCTCGCTCCTCGACGACGGCGACAGCCGACGACGACGCTCGGTGGCCACAGCGACGACGACCAGAACGACGGTCGCCGACGACGGTCGGCGATGGTGATGGCGACGTCGACGGAGGCGACGGCGACGGAGACGTCGACGACGGCGACGGCGCTCGGCGCTCGGCGCTCGGCGCTCGGCGACGGGGCTCGGCGGCGGCGCTCGGCGGGCCGCGGGCGTGGCGAGGGCCCTCTTCGGGGCAGCGCCCGGCCGAGGCGCTGTCGCTGCGCGTGGAGGCGATCGCCTCGCACCAGCGGCAGATCGACGAGCGGACCGCCCCGGCGCCTGGGAGGGACTCTGGTCATCTGTCGGGGGCGGCAAAGAGGGGGGTGATGACTAGGGGGGGAGTGGATGTCATGGCGGGGGCCATGATATTTCCCCAGATCGGATCTCGTGGCGCCTCTTCTTATTTCAATGCGTTCCCTGGCCCCCCCCCCCCGGCCGCGCACATGCCGCCAGCTATGATTTGCATCCCCCCCTCTTGGACACCCCCCTCTTGGCCGCCCCCGAGCCTGGGAGGGACCCGTTGGTCATCCGAGGTGACCGCGCCGTGTGGCGAGTCCGAGGGGCTCCGGGGCTTTTTTCGACATGTGCGTCGGCTCCCGATCGCTTTCCTGCCTCGGGATGCGCTGCAGCAGCTGCTCCTCACCGAGGGCGTTCCGGGGGTGCCCGGGTCATCCCGGGCGGCCGCCGGAGCCGAGAGGCCCGAGGTACGGGCCAGAAGCCCAAGAGGCCTTCGTGGCTGGGCCTGGCCGCCGTCGTCGACGGTCAACCATACAGTCAAGATGCTAAAATGGGCTGAGATCTGAGCGCTGCTGTATTTCACCCTGGCCGTCTTCGCCTGGCTTCGGGCCTCGGGACCATCACAGATCGATCTGGCTCGAAAGACGCAGCAGAAAGATTGTCTCCAGAGCTCTGACTGAGTTTTTCTCCGCGCCGTTGCAATGTTTCGCAACGTCGGATCTCAGGGTACCGATACCACTTCCACTGCCTCATATTCGCCTCCTTGGATCTGCTGGGAGGCCCTCGTCGCCACGGCTGGATTCGCATCGAGATCCTGGTACGAGCGCACCCCACGAGAGGCCTTTGCAGTAATTAGCAGTTTCGGTACCCTTCCCCCCACCCCTTTCAGGGAAGAACCACGTCGGGATCAGGAGGGAGTACAGTGGAGGCCCATGCCAAGAAAACACCCTACTTGCCTCCAGGGTGCCCTGGGTTTCTTGGGTGTCGATGGCTTTGCTACGGAAAGCGTGCCGTTCCCACACCAGACATCTGCGGACGTCCTGGGGTCTCAGGGTTGGGTTTCTTCTGGCAGGTTTCGCGTGGACTGGTCTCCTTGGTATCAGTACCTTTCCTAGGGAAGCGAGCACTAACATAAACATAAATTCTCGGAGTTCCGCGCGGATTTCTCGGATCGGCGCTGGACCCCCTCCCTGGCGCGCGGAGCGCGCCAGGGGCGGCGCCGGAGGCGCCGCCAAAGGGGTCCAGCGCGGATCCGAGAAATCCGCGCAGACCTCCGAGTCCAATCTTCGTTCCCCTGTTCCCCTGTTCCCCCCCCCCCCCCCAGTGAAGAAGCACTTCGGGCTCAGGCGGGAGTCTGGTCCGCGGGCCGCTCCTCAGATCCCGGTCGGGGAGCCTCTACATTCGTGGATTGGCCTCCTCTGTATCGGTACCTTTCCCCCCCCCCCCAGTGAATCAGAGCCCCGAATCATCAGGGGTAACTCGGGTCAGGGATAACTCGGGTTCCTTTTTCGGGAGTCCGAACCCGAGTTATCCCGGACCCGAGTTACCCCGGATAACTCGGGAGTCCAGAGCCCCGAATCATCAGGGGTAACTCGGGTCAGGGATAACTCGGGTTCCTTTTTCGGGAGTCCGACCCCGAGTTACCCCGGACCCGAGTTACCCCGGATAACTCGGGCGCCCAAGTGAAGAACCCCTTCGGGCTCCGGCGGGGGTCTGGTCCGCGGGCCGCTCCTCGGATCCTGGTCGGGGAGCCTCTGCATTCGTGCGGCCGGGGCGCGCCGTGGCCCGGCGCGAGCAGCTCCGTCGTGCCTCACTCGGCGTTCCGTGGCAGCGCGAGGAGTGTTCGGGAGGGGAAAAAACACACAGACACAATTAATCTGCGATTCCCAGAACATATGGGAAAGTATGGGAAATGGGGGGGAAGACAAAAACCCAGAAGATATGGGCAAGTATGGGGAATAATTTTATTTGTGTGTATTTATTTGTGTGTCCCAGTTTCCCTTCAAGTGTGCTCGGTTGTTGTGGTCTTCGTCGCCGTCGGCCGTCGTCGTTCGTCGTCGACGTTGGCCGTCGTCGTCGTCGTCGTCGTCGACCGCCGTCCTCGTCGTAGTCAATGCCGTCGTCGTCGGCCGTCGTCGTCGTCGTCGTCCTCGTCGTCGTTGTCGTGGACGTCGTCCGTCGTCGTCGTCGTCGTAGTCGTAGTCGTCGCCGTCGATTGCCGTCGTCGTCGTCTTCGTCGTCGTCGTCGTCGATCGTCGTTGTCGACCGCCCCTGGCGTCGGCGGCGATGGCCCTGGCCCTGAGATCCGCCGTGGCGAAAAATTGCAACACCACGAGAAAGTCTATGACTGGAACCCTGGCCCCATCGTTCATCGTTCTGCCGGTTTTTCGAGCCAGATCGGTCTGTGATGAAGCTCGAAATTGGACGGATTCGCCTCGTGTGTCATGACTGCAACGGCCATATCTCGCAGGAGCAACCTGAGGCCCCACGTCGTCGTCGTCGTCGTCGTCGTCATTGTCGTTGTTTTCGTAGTTTTCGTCGTCGTTATCGTCGTGTTCGTCGTCGTCGTTTGCGTAGATCTCGTGGTCGTCGTCTTCGTCGTCTCGTCGTCGTCGTCGCAGGATGGAGGAGGAGGGAGGAGGAGGAGGAGGGATGACGAGGAGGAGGAGGAGGAGGAGGAGGAGGGAGTAGGAGGTTGGCATCCGTGGGCCAGCATCCGTGGCCCTTTTTCTGCGTGTGTCGCTACAGCTTTGCGGCTCGGCATCAGCATGCAAGGTTTTTCGTGGTCGCATCCTCGGCACGGCGAGGTTTCTATATTGCAATCAGGGCCTCGCAAGTGGTTCTATCATGTCGTGCTGCAGTGGCTCTGGGAAAAAGTGGCCTCGAGAGAAGGTGCTCCTGAGCTCTCTCTTGGGTGCAATTTTCAGCCTCTGCAGTCTCTTTTAGCCTCTAATGTCCTCAGACACGATGAGAAGGCCTACCTGAGGAGTGTTGTCGCAGGGGGACAGTGGCCTCAGCATCGTCAGTGGCTTGCGCAGTACACCGCCGACCCCCTTTGCCGCTTGTGTCAGCAGGCCCCTGGCACGCTCTTGCATCGTCACGCGAGCTGTGCGGGCCACGATGACATCGCGGCACAGGAGGTCCCACCTGATTTCTTGACTTCGGTGGTCAGGGCGAGCGTCGACCCTCTTCCTCTCCTCTTCGCTGAGGGGCTCCTTGTCCCCGGGGCTCCCCTTCCTCCTGCGAACTCCCTCCCCGATCGGTGGTTCGGTGGAGGACCCACCGAGATGGCAGGGCACATCTTTCTTGACGCCAGCTGGATGGACCAGCATCTGCCGCCAGCGTCTCAGGCCGTAGGCTGGGCCATTGTCAGTGTGCAGCCGCAGTATCCGTACAAGGTTAACTCGGTGATGTGCGGCTCCCTCCAATGTGTGTGCCAACATATTGACTGTGCCGAGCTGTTTGCCTTCAACCGTGCCCTGCAGCACAGTGATCCTGGCAGTATTTTTTTATACCGACTCAGCCTTCGTCCACGATGGAGTTTACCAGCGTGGCAAGTTGTATTGTTGCTCGTCGCGCGCAGCCTGGTCCGAGCTATGGGTCCAAGTCTGGCGCCGCATCGACGACTGGGGCGGCATCGAGTGCATCGACCTGCGCAAAGTCAAAGGTCACTGCACCGAGGCTCGCATTCAGTCTGGACTTTCTACGCGTTTTGTAAAGGAGGGCAACGCGCATGCTGACGACTGGGCTCAGTGGATGGCCTCGAGAGCCCGCGTTGACCGTGAGCTCCGCAAGGCTCGCAAAGCTAAGGCCCTCGTGCTCTCTCAATGGGCGTCCTGGGTTGCGCGTATCGGGCCTCGCATGTGCGACGTTGATTGTGAGCATGTCTCTCGGCGGCAGCGCAAGGCTCGTGGCCCTGGCGAAGTGAACCGCCCTGTGCCGAGGCTGGTGGTGGAGCCCCCGCCGCCAGTCACGCCGCGCAGTCTGTCGAGAGCAGACCTCGCCTCTGTACGGGTGCAGCTTGCGGATGGGAGACCGCATGTCATGCACCCCTTCGCCGTTATTGGGGACGAGGGGCGGAGGTTGTGGTGTACTGTGTGCGTTGTGTGCGGGCTGGGTGGGGTCAAGATCTCTGCGAACTTGTCGCAGGGCTGTCGAGGCCCCCCTGCTCCAGGCACGTGGGGCGCTCGTGTTCTCTCGGGCCTCACTTGTGCGCCAGCGCGCTTCCAGGTCAATCGTGCGTGGCGGTGCCTCGAGGGTCCGCTGCGCACTGCTTCAGTGATCTGTGCAGAAGTGGTGCAACCGCTCTAGTGTCATGCCGCGCCATGCCCCGCGCGGCTCTCATATCCGCCAGCCCGCTGTGCGCTGGCCTCGCCTTCAGGGCACTGTTCGGGAGGCGCCACCCGCCTCTGGCTGTGGCCATGCGGTGGCGTAAGTGGCAGGTGGCGCGGACAACCTTGTTCGCGCTCAGACTGAGTCCAGGGAGTAAAGGGTTGAGGGCCGAGGTCCTCGTTGGGCGGTCTCGCGGGCCCCTGTGGGCGCCCCTTGGGCGGGCGCGGCCAGGTTCCCGACGGAGCTCCGGCCACAGCGGGCCCCGGGTAAAGATGCTGGGGGCCTCCAAACGGGGTGGTGACCACACCGTGTGGTGAGTCGGTGGGGATTCGCCGGGGGTGGACAGACCTCCTACCTTGACACGTCGATTATTGAATCGGCCGTTTTCGGTTCGCGGGAGGGCGGCGCGGCCGTCGTTTTCGCGGGTCCAGGTCCGTCGGTTTCGGTCCCAGGCCGTTCTCACTAAAGGGAGGCTTATTAAAGGGAGGTTTGTCCACCGCCGAATTCGGGGTCGCCGCACGGTTTGGGCATTCGAGTCCCTCTCCGAGGGTGTCTTGGGCGACGGGGGCCTCCAGGGTCCCAAGACCGTGTTGTGACGGACCGTGCGGCGAGGTCTCTTGTCTGGACGCCCGACATCGGCACGGAAAGAATGAGTACAATGCCCAACAGCAGTTCCTGTTCATTTTGGACAGGATTCGCTGTCCACGCCGCCGCGGCCTGTGTTCATTTGAGACAGGAGGCCGCCTGCCCAACAGCGGCCGCTGTTGGTTCGGGACAACATTTGCTGTTGGGCACTGTACCCATTCTTTCGGTACCCATTTCGGGCGTCCAAATCTTGGGGTTCCGAGGTCACCGCACGGTCTGTTACCACACGGTTTTGGGATCCCCAAGAGATGTTGGGGTCGGCGTCGGCCGTCCCTGGTCGATGCGTCGATCTTGTGGGTCCTCCTCGCCCCTCCCGAGGAGGAGGAGAGGGCTCCAAGCATGCAGATGTTGGGGCCAGGCCCTGGACGTCCCTCGTCGATGCGTCGACGTCGTCGTGCTCCTGCTCCTGTCAGGAGCGAAAGAAGGACGGACACGTACAGGAGTCCACGCTAATTTCGAAAGTTCTCATCGCGCGAACGTGCGTATCGCGAGGCTGGTCTCGCGGATTGGGGGGCCGTATTCACGTAACGTGGTTGGGCGCGTTCGTCCTTTGGGCTCCGTATCGTTCTCGCCCCTCCCTCTCGCCCTTCCCCCCCTGAGCAGGAGCAGGACCTCCTTCTTACTTCTGAAGAGGATGAGAGGCAGGACAGGGATGATGAGGAGGAGGAGGAACAGGAGGAGGAGGAGGCCGACGACGACGACGACCGCCTCCCTCTTCTTCTTCTGGCGGAAGCAACCAAGTGAGCAGTGGTCGTTGCTGCTGTGGTCATGCCGCCCATCGTCACTAATGGCGCCGTCTTGTCGCATCTTGCGGCAGGTCCGCACCGCACTGGCGCGTCGTTGACCCTGGCAAGGGCGTCCAAGGGATAACGCCGCCGCCGATGTCGGAACCAGCTGGTACCGAAAGATTCTGCGCTGTGGGAAAGCCGCGATTTGCCTTGGGTTGAACGATCCACGAGGTGCCAGGAGCCAACGTGCAAGTCGCATGCTTCCTCCCTCCCTCCTCCTTGGGCTGTGGATGGTGCTGTCGTCTGCCTGGGTCGGCGCTGAGCTGTCAGGTACCAGACGGTGCGTGAGCAATGGGACACTGGAGACCAATCGAATGTTGAAGCGAAATCAGGACAAGCAGGTCTTGCTGCTCCCGCATTCCTCCCTCCTTCCTCCCTGCTTCCTCTTCCATCTTCCAGGGATAACAGCGAGAGGCTTTATCCGACGTTCGACAACCTCCCTCGTCCTCTCTCCTCCTTCTCCTCCTTCTTTCCCTCGCGTCCCGATCCCTCCTCCTTCTCCTTCCTCCGTCTCGTTCGCATCCCCTGCCTCCCATTGGAATCTAGGATTCCTTTCCCTATCGCACTCCAAGGGGGGGACCGTTCAGACTGCCACCGACGTCCGCCCATCGCTGGCACGTAGGTTCGAGTCCGATGGAGCGCGGTCCCGCGAGGCTCGCCGTGCTCCGGTAGCGAATAGTAATGGGAGCCATGCGTGTGTTTGCAGCTCCGTCTTTAGAATGCACTGGCGCCGACTCGCGTCTTGGAATCGATGAGATAGCGCCGTTTCACGTCGATGTAGCGTCGACTGGCGTCTGGTATTCGCCACCATCAGCGATGCGCGATGTAGCGTCCACTAGTTGACCACCATCTGGTAGTCTGGCATCGATGCGCGTCGATGTGCGCATATTCGTAGCGTCCACTAGTTAGCCACCAAGACCAAGATGGTCTTAGAGGCTTCGACGAGCTGCCACAGAAACGTGTGGCGACACCCGCGGGGCGCGGGCGGCCATAGCTCTCGCGACGCGATGGCAGTCGCGGCAGCTCGCTCGAGCAACGGGTGTCCTTTTAGGCAGCAGGACAGTCCACCCGCATAGCACGGATGGGCAACCTTCCCAAGGTATCATCACATCCTTCCCTGCTCGGCCCATCCCGAGCCACCCTCGTGGGCCACGCCCCGCTCGAGAAGCTCCTGAACGCGCAGCCTCACTACACGGGTTGCCTGTGCCTCCTGACCCCCGCCCCCCCCCCCCCCTACCTCGGCGGCGGGCGAGGGGGGGAAGTGAGAAGGAGAAGGCCTTTGTCAGAAGGCGGCGGGACTTCTCAGAAGCCCTCGCGCCCTCTGAGAAGTTTGATGTCTGTCTTCGGGGAAGGCTTGGAACACTTCTCAGGAGGCCAGGTAACTCCCGAGCCTCCCGAGAAGGCCCGCCCCGTCTCATTTCCCCCCTGGGCGCGCCGCCTACTACCGCACAGGATCGAGGGCCTCGAGGCCCTCACGGCGCGCCAGGAGGACCTCCTCCAGGCCGGCGCCGTGCCGGGGGGGCTGGAGGCGCTGGCGCGGACGGTGGCGAGGATGTCCGCGCGGCTGGAGGACGCCCTGCGCTCGCGCCGCGGTGGAGGGGCGTCGTCTCTCAGGCGTCGTGGCTCGGGGAGGGGGGGGAGGGTGGAGGAGGGGGGGAGGGGGGGAGGAGGTGGAGGAGGGGAGGAGGAGGGGGGGAAGGGGGGGAGGAGGGGAGGAAGGGGGGGAGGAGGGGAGGGGAAGTGGGGATCGTTTTGTTGATGCCTCCTCGATCTGCCGTTGTTTGTGTACGGCTTCCAATGATGTGGGGCCTGGGGTGGTTTCCGTCAGCTGCGCCCCGTCGAGGGTTTTCCGGGAATGCCTGGATCGTCCCGAACAGCCACCCGAGGCCCGAGTTACAGCGGAGGCCCATGCCAAGAAACACCCTGCTTGCCTCCAGGGTGCCCTGGGTTTCGGTGGTTTTGCTGTGGAAGGCGTGACGTTCCTACACCAAAAATCAATGGACGTCCTGGGGTCTCAGGGTTGGGTTTCTTGCGGAAGCTCTCGTGCGGACTGGCCTCCACTGTATCATCCCGATGTTTTTCTCGGAGACGTCCAGTTTCAGAGAATGAGACGATACCGGTACCGCCGCTGCTCTGGAGACCTCGTCGCCACTGCTGGAGCTGCGCTGGAGACCTCGGTATGCTCGTCGGAGCGAACCCCAGGCTAGGTCCGGGCAGCAGCGCTATCGGTGTTTGTCTCCAGGGAGGGTCGGGGAAGCGTAAGACTCGAGTAAGCCGGAACTCGGGGTTGCCGACGTTTTTTTGGCGAGCGCGTCCTGGATCTTGACGGTCTAGTTTTCGTGGGATGTCTACAGCGGGAGCTCGCGTCAAATTTCAGATTTGGTCTCGTCATTTTCATGATGGCCCCTTCAGGACAACCCGAGTCCCCCGTACCCGAGTCTTACGTCTCCCCGAGGGGGGGGGGAGGGAGGAGGCGATGAACGATGGTCCAGGCCGCCCCGATGCGGTCGAAGCAGATGGGGCCGGTGGATCTGGCCGCACGTCGCCAGTGCACCGGCTCGGCGGCTCGGTGTCGAGCCACCCCGCGCCGACGTCGCTGGTGCACTGCCAGCGTTGCCAACGCGTTGTCAGAGCCCCGAATCATCAGGGGTGACTCGGGTCAGGGGTAACTCGGGTTCCTTTTTCGGGAATCCAAACCCGAGTTACCACGGACCCGAGTTACCCCGGATAACTCGGGCGCCCAACGTTGGCGATGCGACGCCATGCTCGGACCTCGTCTGCTCGGGCCCCACGTGGGCGGCCTTCCGACGGAGGGAGGGAGGGGGAGCGGGAGGGGGCTACGCTACGAGTCACCTCGGCGGGGCTGCCCGCGGCCAGAAAAACGACAGGCAGTGCCTCGGAAGCTCGCTCTTCAGATCCTGAGTCCGCGGAATCTGTATCCGACGGCGGAGCACTCCCCTCCCCTCGCCGCGTGCCCCAAGCGCAACGGTCCTGTTTTGCGCCCCGGCAAAGGACGAAACAAGGTAGTACGTAGAAGGGGGAGTGAGGGAGGGAGGACGGGGAGGAGGAGCGAGGGAGGGGGGGCTAGCGAGCCACTGGAGGAGCTGTTGAAGACGGCCGAGGGACGGACAGAAACACAGCGCGCCTCAGTATAAAGTTTTCGCGGCAGGCGAGGTCCGGAGGCGAGGATGACAACGTGTCTCAAGCGCAAGTTGGTTCCCACCCTGTAGGCAAGGGGGTCAACGGCTCTCAAGTGCAACCTCCCCTGTGCTAATGTAGTGATATGGGCTTGCCCACCTTGGGACGCAGGGTTCGCGCCGCATTCTTGAGGAAAAGACGGCGATGATCGCGAGCGGCGCGGGCCCTGTGGTGGCAATTTCGCACTGCCCATCAGGAAGACTTTGAAAACGCGCGCACTCCTGGCACAAGGTGGTACGATCCAAGAAATCCGCGCGGACCTCCGAACGTTCATGTTCACTCCGCTTTCCCTTCTTCCAAAGCTGGTCACTGCCCCCGTCCTCGGTGCCCGGCGCTTGGGGGGAGGCGGGGGCAGGGGAGGAACACGGCCCAAGGACCAGCCCGGCAGCAGCCAGGGCCGCCGGCACCGTTCCGTGGGAATGTGGATGTTAAGAGGCATGCTCGATACAATAACACTTGGGTTTGCCAGGCTTTTGGGAGGGGCTCGATGTGTACAGCGCGTCGTTTGCACGACCATGGAGCTCGGCGAAGAAATTCGGTGTGTAGACGCTCCTGCGTCCTACAGCTTTGGCAGCTGGAGCGCCTACACACCGAGCCCAGTGGCCGACCTAACGACGTGGCGTCTACACCGAGCCCCTCCCAGCTTTGCTCGGTGTGAGATCGCATGTTCTGCTGGCTCGCGTGCGGAGGCCTCTCGAGATGATTGCGAGCACGCTGTGACGTTTCAACCCTGTCACCTCCGCTCCCCCCGTTGGGAAGTGGAAGAGTTGGTGCCCCACTGTCGTGAGCCTGCTGTTTCGGGGGCACGGGGCAAGAAGGCACAGGAAGTGCTTGCCTCGGCTAAGAGACTTGTCGTGTCGTTACTGTCCGGCCGACCGACCGAGGAGGCGAGGGCGGCGGGAGGAGAGGTGTAGGGAGAACTGGCGGGGGAAGGAGGGGGTAGGAGGGGGGGGCGAACGGCGGAATGCAGAAGTCTTCGTATAGCCGTAGCCGACGATTTGCGTTCTCTCCGCTGGTAGGTATGTAGTTTTCGGCTGCAGCTTGTTGCCCAGCGTCATTCTCATCCTGGGAGTATCCCAGCGAGGAGAAGGAGACGGAGGAGCAGGAGGAGAAGGAGGAGGAGCGAAGGGGAGGGGGATGAGGAGGAGAAGGGACGAGGGTGAGGAGGAGAGGGAAGAGGGTGGAGGCAGGAGTTAGGACGGCGGAGGGGTGCTTTGAGCAGCCTCCTCAATCAGCACACTGAAGACGCACACTCTACAGCAGCGGGAGGCAAAACACTGTGGCACACGGTCTTGCCCTCAGCGGGAGCCAGCATCTTCGCCGTCCGAAGGCACAACGTCCGCCCTCCGTGGGCTGGCTTTTCACGCGGAGCGGGAGCCCCCGCAGGAGGAGGAGGCCCCCCCCCCTTCCGGCAGGAGATGGACGAGGCCCAGCCCACGGACTCTTGGAGGGGCCAGCCCGCGCGCTACGCGACGGTCGGCTCCGCCGAGACGCGGGTCTGCCTCCTTCCTCGTCGTCATCATCCTCCTTCCTCTCCTCTCTGGACGCCCGAAATGGGTACCGAAAGAATGGGTACAATGCCCAACAGCAGTTCCTGTTCATTTTGAACAGGATCCGCTGCCCACGCCGCCGCGGCCTGTGTCCATTCGAGACAGAAGGCCGCCTGCCCAACAGCGGCCGCTGTTGGTTTGGGGCAACATTTGTTGTTGGGCATTGTGCCCATTTTTTCCGTACGGTAGGTTCGCGTCGTGTCGACCGGCGGCGACCCCGCCGCGGGCGTTCAAGGTTGAACGCCGCCAGTGGCTCAGAATCGGCCTATATGGACCGATGGAGCGATCCACAGTCGCCGATCGTTCAAGGTTGAACGATCCATGCGGAGTCAGAAACCAACGCCGGGGTCGTCACGACGCGAACCTGACGTACCCATTTCGGGCGTTCAAATCTTCGTGCCCGACGAAAAAAGCGGGGGTCAGGGAGTTCGGCGGCCAGCCCAGGGGGGCAGTGAGAATGAGGGCGGGTCTTCTCTCAGGAGGGGAAAAAACACACAGACACAATTAATCGTCGATTCCCAGAAAAATATGGGAAAATAGGGGAAGTCGGGGGAAGACAAAAACCCAGAAAATACGGGAAAATATGGGAATCTGTTTATTAGTGTGTACCTATTTGTGTGTCCTGGGGCCCCTTCATTCTCAGAAGGCTCGGCAGGCGGCCGGCCTTCAAGGACATGTCCGGAGCTTTCCCCAGAGGCACGGGGGGGGACCTTCTCAGGATTCTGAGGAGCCCCGCCGCTTTCTGAGAGGGCCCTGTCCTTCTCACTTCCGCCCCTCGCTCGCCGCGGAGAAGGGGGCTACGGAATCTGCTGCATAGATTTAGTTTCGGCCCCGCGGCTAGGCGTTTTCCTTGCCGATTCGCAGGGCCCCCTTTGCGATTCCCTTTCTTTGTCCGACCAGATGCTCCCTCTTCAAGATGCGACTTTTCCCTTATCCTTCTGGCCTCTCCGTCCTTCCAGCCTGCTCGCCCAGCTCTCCCGTCCTCCTCGTCCCCCTTCTTCTGCCCTCCTTCTCCTCTTCGTGTCGTTCTCCTTGATTGTCTGTCTCCTTCTCTATACTGTCCTCTTCCGCTGGTGGATCGCATCCCGGTTGACCGACCAAGTGCGATCGAATGTGTCGATGGTGGTCGACTTGCCGATCAACCTCCAGATGTTCCTCCGCTGCCTGGAGTTCAGGCGCGTTGATACCGCGCCCACGCTGCGTCTTCTCATCCTACTCGGGCTCCTACAGTCGAGTTTGATTAGCAGGTCGACCTTGTCAAAGCACGGATAGCCTTGCGTCCTGTTTGCTCACGACAGGTGTCCTCTGCACTCCTAGGGCAATGCGGCCCTCGGAATGGTCTTGTGTCCGCTCGCGTGTCCTCGTTAATCAAAGTCGATGGTCGTTTCAAAGAGCCAGTGCAGACGGCTGCGTCGAATTCACGTCGTGTCGATGCGACGGCCACCCAGCCGCGGGCGTTCGAGGTTGAACGCAGCCAATGGCCCAGAATCGGCCGACTTCGAACGACGCGCGCGATCGGACAGCCGCGACCGTTTATTTAAGGTGACTAGATGTAAGAGTGACCCTGCGCCGGAGTGACCCTTGGTGCGGGCACCTAGGGGTCCCCCGATCGCTGAACGCGAAGCGGCAGCAGCGTCTTGCGCGCCTGGGTTCCGCCACCCCGTGTCCCCAACTAAGCCGCGCACCAAAGGTCAATCTTGCCTAGTCGGAAGACCACTGTCTGGAAGCACTGCCGCACTCCTTCATAGGGGTTTGCCTGCTTTTTGTCGCCCCTGCCGGTTCCCTCCCTGCCCCTCCCTCGGGTTCCCCCCTCCCGCTTGGGATAAAACAGGCAAGCCGCTAATGGATCGGGGGTGGACAGAGCCCCCCACCCTGACACGTCGATTCGTGAATTGTCTGGTTTCGGTTCTCGAGAGGGCGCCGCGGTCGTTATTTTCCAGGCTTGCGCCCGCCAGGTTTGGGCCAGAGGTCGGTTTCACTAAACCACGCTCTACTATAGGGGGTTCCGTCCATCCCCGAATGGAGCTGTCGTTGCCTCGCTTCCATTCTTACTTTAGCCGATGTGACGTCATGGCACGGCTTCTTTGGTTCCAGGGTCACTCTTGCGTGTAGCCGAACGATCCTCGCGGTGCCAGGAGCCAACGCGCGGGCTTCGCCACGACGCGAGCCCTCCTCACGCGCGCCCGTGCCCTTCGGGTGGTCCTTGGTGGGCGCGCTCGTAGCGCCTTTGGGTTCGACCTAAAAGTTGTTTGGGCGACTTCGATGACCGTTTTCGGTTCAGCTTTTTTTCTCAGCAAAGCAGGAGCAGAAAAATGGCGTCTGTGTACATGGGCATGTTCAGGCTGTCGGAGAGACGTCGCACAAGGGAGCATGCGTGGCGGGGGGGAGTGCATGGTGCAGCAGCGTCGGATAGTATCATTGTCCGATGCGTAGAGTTATCCGACCATCTTTCCCTTGGATTGCAGGGCCCGCTCGCGGGGTACTTGTTTGATCGCTTCGCTCACTCCGCCGGCCCATCCTGCCTCGCCGCTGTCGTTTGTCGGGGTGTTGTTGTCAATGCGGTGCCGTTGGGCGGCTGCCATTTTTCGGAGGCGGCGGGTGGTGGGTCAGAGGCCTCATGGATGTTGGTTGGGCTCTCGTGGTTGGCCTCTCCGGAGCCTCTGGGAGGGAGTTTGGAGGCCTCTTGGGGGCCGTGTTGGGGCCTCCTGGGGCTTTCTGGGGTGCCTCTTGGGGGCCTCTTGGGGTGCTTCTCGGGGGCTTCTTGGGGTGCCTCTTGGGGGACCCTCGGGGCCTCCTGGGGGGCCTCCTGGGGCTAAAGGCTGGACTTGTCGGTTCCTGGTCCCCTTCTTGGGCCCCTCTTGTGGCCGTTTTAGGCCCTCTTGGGCGCCTTTTTGGCCGTCTTGGGGCCATCTTGGGCCGTCTTGGGGCCTCTTGGGCTCTCTTGGGCCCATCTTGAGGGCGTGTTGGGCCGTCTGGGGACGATGTTGGAGGCCTCTGGGGCAGTTCTGGACGCTGCGAACTCCCACACGTCGCACATGCAACAAACTTACTTTTCCGGAGGGAATGGGGCAATTTTTGCCTCTTGGGGCTCTCTTGGAGAGCCTCTTGAGGCTCCCTTGGGGCTTTTTCGCAGCCTCTGTGGCCATCTGGAGACCATCTTGAGCGTCTTGGAACGATCTCTCGGCGATTGGGGGCCTCTTGGGCCTTGTAGGGGGCGTCCCGGCGCCCTCTTGGCGCGATCCTGGAGCGCCCAGGGAATCGGCATGGGTTTTTTTGGGTCCCCACGGGCCGCCACGCGCGCGCGAACTAGAAATACTGTGAACCTGTTACCGGAGATCTTAGCACGTCTTTGGCCCGTTGGGCTGGCGAATTCACGTACGTACTTCGGCGCGCGCGTACGTCATCTTGCGGCTCCCTAGCAAAGGGGGAACGAAGAAACAACGAGGCACAACGAAAACAACACGGAAACGATACATCTTGTTTCAGGGCGAGCTTTGTAGGTCGTGTTTTTTATGTATTGTTTTGCCGATCGGCGAGGGTCCTCGCACCCCCCATGGAGTAGATTTCTGCTGTTTGAGGCGCCTGTTTTGAGCAGGTGGAGTCTCCCCTCATAGGACGCATGTTCGCAAACAGTCGCACTGAGCAAATTGTCCAGAGCCAGACGCCCCCCCCATCCCCCCCCCTCTTCGCTCAATGTCGAAACGCCGAATGAGAAACGTTCACTAGGGCCTCGGTGGGCCTCAGCTTTGTCCACGCTCTGCTGGGTACAGGTTGTCCGCGCTGCCCAGGGCTTTTTGGAGCGTCGAGTGCCCGACTTCCCTGGCAGACCTCCGGCGGACCGCTCGCGCGGCCGGGCCCTCCCCTCGATTGGTCTCGCTTCTCCGCCTGTCCGCCCGCCCCTCCCCCTCCCTGCACCCTTCCTCTCCCTCCTCCTCCTCCTCCTCCCTCCTCCTCCTCCCCTCCTCCTCCTCCTCTTCCTTCTCCCCCTCTCTTTCTGCTCCTCATCCTCCTCCTACCTCCTCCTACTCCTCCTCTCATCCTCCTTCTCCTCCTACTCCCCCTCCCTTTCCTCCTGATCCTCCTCCTCCTCCTCCTCCTCCTCCTCCTCCTCCTCCTCCTCCTCCTCCCTCTCCTCCTCCCTCGTCTTGGACGTTCGGCAAGCTCAGACCAACTCGGATCGTAGCGCCTTTCTTCCCCGCCCTTCATCCTGTTCCTTCTACAACTTCCTGTCGCACCCGTAGACGTGTCGGTAGGGTGGGCCTAGAGTGTTGTTTGAGACTTCCCTATCATGTGTGATCCTGAAGCTTGCAGTTTGTAACAGGTTAACAGATGGAGGCGGGCCGATCCGTTTTCAATGTGTGGTTCTCGCCGTAGTGCCGCGCCCAGTTCTTTTGAGTACGGATGGAGAGACCTTTTTCAACATGCGGCTATCGTTTCAGCACCGCGCGCATTTGTTTGAACACGTCCGACGTGGCAACAGTTTCACCGAATGATGGCGGTCCCTCTTCAAGATGTGTTTGTCGCCGCAGTGCCGCGCACATTTTTTTGAATTGTTGCAGCATCGTCACGAATGGAGGGCGTTTTTCCTCACAATGTGATTATCGCCGTGGCGTTGTGTATGTTTGTTTCCACGATTGCAACAGTTTCAAGGGATCGTATGGTTGAAGTTCCGAGTATGGTGTGTTGACACGGTTTAGGATTGTCAGGACGCAGTTGTCGTGTTGATTCGTTGTGTTGAAATCCGAACCAAGGATGGTGTTTGGGCGCGGTTTAGGATCGCCAGGGCGCAACAGTCGATCGATTCGTTGCGCTGATGTCCGAGGAATGGCATTCTGGCGACATTCTCGAACGTTTGTTTTCCAATGAAGCTTTTCCGCAATGGAAGTAATTTCTCGTTGGGACCTATGAAGAGGGAAGTTGCAGGGAGGGTTTCATGCAATGTCGGTGATGTGTCTGGGGTTCACACTGGTCTTTCTCCTCGTCCTCCTCGTCGTCCTCCTTCTCCTTGGCCCAGCCGAGAGAGGCGCGCTCCGTCGGCTCCGCCTCGCTGCCGCCGGAGGGCGGCGACGTGGCCTCGCCGTCGCTGCCAGACAACCTGGCAGCGGCCTTGGGCAGCTTCGCCCAGAAGGCACGGCGACGACGC